TATATTTATAAAAATAAAAATAAATTAATTTTTACTTCTTTTTTTATTATATTAATAGTAAATATTAAATATATAAGCTTATATTACTTATATTTAAAAAATAGATAAAAATACCAATCTTTTTTATATTTAAAGTATTTTCTATAATACTTCTTGAACTAAAGTATAAATTTATTTAAAAGAAGTAACTTCTTTTAAACTTATTTTATAAACTCTTTATTATTAATATAGTTTTATTTTATAAATATCTATAATATATAACTCTTTATTACTTATATTAAAACTATATTATATATAGTTTCTTATTTTATAGTTTAAGTCTACTTTATAAGATTATTAATTAAAATATAAGTTATATATTATTATATAATTAATTCTTTAAATAGACTTTTATTAATAAAAATAACCTATTTTATATTAATCTTTTTTCTAATTATTTACTAAATAACTTATAAGTATTTATTATAATAAGCTATTAGCTAGTTATATCTCTTACTTAGTTACTATTTTATTAAAAACTTATATATGTAAAACTATTAAGTTTTAATATTAAAGTTTTCTTTTAATACTATAGTTAACTTATATTATATAATATTTAAATAATATTTTAAATAATAAAATAAATTCTTTTTAATATTTTTTATAATAGATAGTTAAAGCTAAGCTTTATATAATAAAGAAAATAATATTAATTATATAATATAAAAACTTTATTTATTTTATAAATATAATTAATATATTAAGTTATTTACTAATTATATTTACTTATTATTTATAATATTAATATTATTCTTAAAGTAAAAAGAATTATAATTATATATTTTAATTAAGTTAATAATATTATATTGAATTATAAAAAAAGGATTATAAACTTATATAAAATTAATAAAATTAATAAAAATTAAAAATATTTTTTGTTGAAAGGGATAATTGACTAGAATACTTAAAATATTTAAGTTTTTTTAAGATTTTTAAAATTTTTTTAAAAGTAAAAACTAGAAGAAGATTAAAGATAAATCATTTAATAACTTTATAAAAAAAAATTTAAATTTAATAAATATACTTTTAAAAGAAAGTTAATTAAAACTACTTTTAAATAAAGTTTTAATTATTAAATTTAAAAGATTTTTATTATATTATTTAATTAATTATATTTTTCTAATTAAATTAAACTACTTTTTAAATAATATTATTAATTTTTATTTAAAACCTAAAAATAAAAAGCTAAATTAAAGTAAAATAAAAGTTTAATAAAAGCTTAAAGTAAGTATTTTTAAATAATTTAAATATTAGCTTATTAAAAATATTATTAAGAAAGTTATTAGTAGATTTACTTTATATTATATAAACTTTTAATATATTCCTTATATTAGTTTTAATTAAAAATTATTAGTATAGCCTTTAGAAGCTTAAATTAGTCTAATTACCTAATTAGGCCTAGCTTAGCCCTACCTAGCTTAGTATAGCTCTTCTTCTATAATTATATTCTTAGATAGCTTACTAGATATATAATTGATTTATTATATTAAAATCTATACTATAAGAGCTTACTCTTAGAAATTCTTTAATATCTTAATAATTATTAACTTAAAACTAATAACTAAGATAATAAATAAAAGCTAAAGATAAAAGCTTTTATATAACTTAAAGATTAAAAGTTTTAAAGGCTTTTAAATAAAGTTATTAATAGTTAAAAAATAAGTAATAGCATAGAAACGCGAAAAAAAAATTGGCAAAAATCCTAAGAAACTTGAATTTAGGGGTAGGGGTAAAGTGTGACAGCTAGGCACATTTTTAGCTTTCTTTTTGTTAGATACTATTACAACTTGGTGATTCTTACTGAATATTAAAGTTGGAATGGGATGGCAGTCTTTTATATTCATGCTCGAATCGGAAAATGACCTGCGACGCACTAGGGAAGGGTCTCTGGACTTTGCATTGACAGGCTCAGGACTATGTTGATGAGTTATATACCGAACGATATACATCAGTCTTCTGTCCTTGAACGGCAAAAGCTTTCTGTAAACAACATCTAACGCTGCTAACAGGGTCTCTGCAAACAATGCGCCTCGAACAGTATCTCATTATTCGATCAACAATGGCAGGAACAACTTACTTGTTCCACCATCTTATTGTGAAATTGATACTAAAACAAAGAAGCATTATTTGAATATCCAACCCTTCCACCGGAAAAGCCTCGCAATTAAGCGCCCCCTAATTGCAACACCAAATCAACCTCTCACTCTCAAGTCTCTTGTCCAAGATGCTTGGCTTACCTAAGAAGCCTCAAATTCCGAACATTCAATTACCTAAGATGCCTCAAATATCCAAAGTCAACATAAGTGCTACAATGCCTAGATGGCTACTGGACGCTTTCCTCTACCTTTTAGACTGTCTTGAAGTCTACGTTTTGATGGCCCTGGCGGCGATCATGATGGCGTCAATTCCATCTATAGTCAATATCATCCGACAGTGGTGGTGCCTTGCAAGCACACTAATCGGTCAACATCTCCATTCGTACCGTGAATCGAACTTATCAAGCACGGCAATTACTCTCCGTAGCATAGGCTACGTCTTCGCGATAGGCCAAAACTTTCTCTCGGAATTAACATTGGCAACGGTTCTCCACGGCCTAGGCTATACACTCGCAGTGTTTCGAGACATCGTTTGCATCGCTTGGGCCATAGTAGCCGTGCTGTTCGCATATGGTCTTGCGATGCCAATCCAGATCTCTTACTACATATTTGTATTTCTCCTCGAGCTGCACCGGGATTACAGTGGCTTAGAGGCAGTGGGCACAGGCTCAACGACATTCTGGTCTCTATTGCGAGGTCTCGCCGCCCTAGAAGTTATCGCAACAGTCATCTACCTCGTTTACAAAGTTTGCCAATTGCCAGGGATGGGAGTACTGGCACGTGCGATCTGGTACTTGTCTAGTACGGCGACAAGATACTTCAAGAAAGTCCCTTGGAAGTGGATCGGCGAGAAGATTTGGTCAGCTCTGATCCTGACCTGGTTTGTCTTAAACCTGATCTTGTCGTTCCTGAAGCTGATTTGGTCGATCTTGATCTCAGTCTGGTCGTCCCCAAACTTGATACTGGCATCAGTCATGCGAGTTTCCTGGAGGTCTTATTTCGCAGAATTCTTCGTTGAGCTTCTACACTACTTAGATGGTGCAAATCCGACTGTAAGGGCAGCGACTCCCGACAGAACCAGCCAGGACTCATCAGATTCACCGTCTGAGGGGAGTATTTCAAGCATAGTATTTCCACCAGGTACTTACGATGAACAGGGTTGGTATGAATCAGGCGAATACAGAGTGGAGCAACCGAACATAGAGAACTATTAACGCATAAGACTCTGGCGATTACAAACCACCTCTACCACGACTACCTCCAGTGCCGGACGCAACGCAACGTTGAGCTAGAAAAATGCTCCGTTGATACATCAGGTACTGGATCTGACGAAACCAAAGACATGGACAACGTTGAGCGTGAACATGCTCCGTTGATACCACTATTGTCTTTTCGTTCAGCAGATGGCATGAGCGGCGTTGAGCAAGGAAATGCTCCGTCAAATTCGGACGGCAGTTCGCTAGGAGGTTTGTGTAGGATAGAAGAATTAGAGAAAAGGTTAATTAAGTCAGAGAAAAAGAGTAAAGACTTTGTTGCTAATAACATTTCTTTAAGATGCATCTCTTCAAGATGAAAACTCAGCTCCTCACCGCCACGTACTATAATTTTCAACAAACAAACAATACCACGGTAGCTGCTTGCATATTGTTTAACGCCTCTTCACGTTTTGTACTTGTAGTAGGAGATGTAGAATTTTTGACCAAGTCATACGAGCTCGACTCGGCAGCAAAGAATGACTTATAAACATTTCCCTCATTCTAGCTGGTCGCTTCCTATTAATGTGCGACCTTAGCCGCCACCTCTACTAATACATTCGATACAACGCTGACGACCAGATCACTAACAGCAACAATTCTTAGTATTTATACATCTCCGCCTCGTATAACTTTCAATTCTTTTATATCAACTATTATGTTTCTATAAGCACTGTTATATTGGCATACATGGGCATGCACAATCGACATCAACCTAGCATGTAGCTCTGTGGCACACCTTGGCTTCCTGGCAATTGTGTCAATGTCACAAGGACACTGAAGCAATAGAGTGTCCTGCGCTCACACGGCTTGAGGCTTATGTCAAGATATCTTTGCGGGTTTGGAAATGCATTCACCAGCATATGATACGCAACCTTCGGTTCAAATCGAGAACGAGATAGATGATCAATATCGTTTCCACCTTTTGACAATGTATGGTCTTTTGTTAGGTGTTACAGTAAAGGGATATATGCCCTGGAAAGAATATTTGGAGTAAAAGCTTCCACTCCGAATCCTTCTTCAGATCCTCTTATATAGCGAGCGTCAGTAAGCCGGAGAGCAATCGTGTATGCTTCTCGGGGCTATATTTCAAGTAGGAACAAAATAATGTCTTGTTTGCAACGAGATTGAAACCACTAAGCTTTGCGTTCACACGGATGTTGGGGCGGCCTAACTTGACTCGTAGAACAACAGAGTCTTATCCCCTGTCCCAATTCTCTCAACGCGGCTGTTGTACATTCTTGGTACCGCTTATCCCTTACATCCTCCGTGAAATCTTCCAATCCCTTCTCACAAGAGAGGTCCTTGAAACATGCATTAGACGAACGGCACAAAGGAAGCCCTGAAAGGCTCAATCACACGTTGCGGCAGCCCCGTTTGCGTCTTCTCCCAACACGACCCGCTACATTCTTTGTTCCTCGCACGCTAACAGACAGAAGTTGTACATTGATCTTTGTTCAGCGCATTGAGTCCTCCTTCCGCAAACTCACACTTCCAGTCATTCGTCATCACCACCGCCAGATCTCCGACATCCTCCCAGCACCAACTCAGCCCAACCCCACCAATCCTCCCCTCCCGTCCCCCCTAACCACGACTATTCACATAACAAACAATGAACCTCGACCGTCTCCGCACAGTCCTCGTCAACATCCAGACCTCCCAAGCCTTCAACGTTCCCAGCGCCATCCCCGACACGGAACTGGCCGAATGTCTCATCCTGATTGATGATATGGAAGGGGATCTAGTAAGAGGAAGATGGGAAACAGAACTTGTGGAGCAGAACGCTCAAGCGCTGAGAGCGCAGGTGGCTGCGAAGGACGCGGCATTGGATGCGGCGGGGAAGGAGAAAGAGAATTTGAGGGAGGAGGTTGAGATTTTGAGATTTGAGAGGAAGCGGATCTTGGGGGAGGGGAAGAAGGGTTGATTGGGATGTGGTAGATGGATGATGGCTGCCTTTGGGAGGGGTTGCAAGCTGTGTGAAGTGAAGTGGATGTGGTGAGGCAAAGGGCTCTTGTTTCGATAGGCAAGATCGCTACCGCCTTGTGTAGCTTTAGACGAGAATAAATCTCTTCTTCGTTTCAAGTGTAAAAAAACGATCTCCTTGCCACAGGCAGAGGTGCATGCGAGGTAGAAGACGCGTGTAACGGGAACCGGAGGTCAAAATGTTGCACGTCGCGAAGGTGAGAGAATAAGGCGTTAATATTCCCACGATCTGGCTTCTGAGCAAAATGTCGTTTTCATTTGACAATATGTCGGGCTCTCCGAATCGTTCTTCCAAAGCTAGCGCATAGACCAGCTGTCCGCTCAGGAGACGATCTCATGGGCGTGGAATAGCACCTTGCGTTAAAGCATTGACCCTGACACGATGATACGATTTGGGGTGGCAGTACTGTTGCGACGGGAACTTAGTAGATTCAAATGCTGTCTATTCGGCGTCGTATCATAAGTGATCTTATAGGTGCGGAGTTTTTTTAAGCTTGCTGCTTGCCTGGAGTTGTCCTGCTCGTCCCTCTGAATCTCGTGTTCCCTGAACGATCTACCCTTCAAATACCTGCGGTCCCCATTCTCAATATCGTGCTTGAGGTTTTTGCAGGGTGCAAGAGACCCTGCGCAGCACCTTATAGCATCTGTTTGCCCATACGGCCGTAAGAATCCAAGGGCAAGCGGCTCAACCACCGCGGATCAGCCTCTTGCCGCTGCGATGTTTTGGAGATCTTTGTCTCGTTCTGCCTTCCATTCCATCGATGCGACATGAAAGCGTTTCACGCCTGCTTGCCCTTCATATGCCCGTCGTCACTGTGAAGGAGACGCCTGGTTTCTGCAAGCCGGGTTTCCTTTGATCCCACAAATTCGTGTGTATAGTTGCCGGCTATCAAGCGCGACTTTTGCAGTGTATTATTGGGCTCCTCTTCTCATGGCAACGTCATCCTTGCGTACATCGCGCAACGCTCCTAGAGCTGCGCTTCACCGAGTTAGGTCGGTATGGGTTAGGCATGCCACAATCGTTGATCGCACGTTCGGGCGAGGGGCTCTGAATGGAGCAAATCATGAAGGTGAATGTAGATGAGGACCGAACAAGGCAGCGTGGGACGAGTTGGTCATTAGAAAGACTACGGCCTGTACAGGGCGGTTGAGGGCTATAGTGGGATCCGGCGGCATTGGGGGTATGATTCAAAATTCAGCTAAGCGTTTGTTTGGGTGAAGAGTTTCAAAGACATAAGGGACGAGCCTGACTTCCAGGCTTCGAGATGCTTACTAAGGAGCCAAGCCGTGCTAGTTCCAGGATGGGCAAGCGCGGGACTAAACTATAAAAAGCTTAGTTCGCTTCATTGCTTTTATGGTACCTTTAGCCCTGGAGGATCCGACCAACACCAACTCCAAGGATCCCTACCAGAGGGTCTGGTAGACAAGAAATGGATCTTCTTCACGTTGCACATCCCCACAGCGGTGCCCTTGATCGCTTTCAAGTCGACCCTTGAAGAAGACGCCGCGCCTTCTACTGTCTCCTCCATCGACGGCTTCCCCACCGCTCGCCAAGCCCAAAGTGCTATCCCCAAGAATCTATGGCTCACACACCAGATATCCCAAGCTGAACAGCGGAAGCCTACGTCAATAGGTCCTTGGGGCGAGATGAATCATGAACTGTGCCCCACCGATGAGTAGGCAGCGCATAAACTACACGGGCAAGCGCGGAGTCGAAGGTCATGATGGCTTGGGAGGCCGAAAAGCAGTGGTGTGGCATGCCCGGCGGAGAGCAAGAAAAAGAGGGAATCAAGGGGTCCAGGCGACTGATAGAAGAGCACAGAGGAGAGACTCTTTGACGAGGAAGCTGTGGCGGCGCGACTAAGAATTGTTTTTGGTCTGAGAGCGCAGATGGGATAGGGATTGGCGGCAAAACACTGATGCTATTTCAAACATACGTAAAGACTTGGGCAATGAACCAATGCGACGTTCCACATCTGCCGTCGTAATGAGGAATAGAGAGGTGGGTATTTGGCCTCCACACTGCTCCCTACCGAACATGTGCTGATCGCAGACAGACAGCTAGCAGTGCATCCCTCATGAACCCTACCTCCTTCGATCCAAAGAACTCCACACAGGAAGCACAGCAAGCAAGCAATCGCGGCGGCAGAGTACAACGATCTCTCCCCCTCCCTCTCACAAGGGGGGTCCAGATGCCCGCAGAAACGGAGGGCGCAGCAGACGGTACGGCGGTATTGGATCACTTGCTTCATAATTGAGGTTAGTAGGCTGATTTGATGCTAATCAACCGATACAATTGAATTTCGATGAATTCAATCCTCAACAGTATTATGACAGTAACCTTCTTCCACGTAATTAATATTTTCTAGCCGACAGCCAAGGAACCAAATGATCTAGAGTAAATGCGAATAAACTTTGAGTACAAGACGCGAAGATCTAGAGAAATATCTCGCATGCCTGAAAACGGACACCACGTTATCTTCCGCGTCTAATTCATATCTCATCCCACCCCCTTTCTCCCCTCCTTGCTTATACTCAATTCCTTCTTCCCTGCCTTTTCCCCCCATTTACATGTACCGTACAGTCGATTCTTCATCCTTCCCACCCATAACTCACGACCCAGCAACCGTTCCTTTCCCCTTCCTACACCACTGTATAGCACCACACTGCAAATCCAGCCGCCTCCTTCTGAAACGCGCAAGCCCGAGTATCTATAACCGTCCTCCCCTCCTCCCCTCCAACGAGCCCTAATATCCTCCAACCCCCATCACCGATCCCCCGGCCCCAACCGCCAGGATCTCTCCTCCTCTTCCACTCCCTTGACTCCTAAAACGAGCCCTTTTCACCCCTGCGACCTAGTGCTCGCGCACATCCCTTCCCTCGATACAGCGCCACATTTTGCTTTGAACTCCCTAAGACCGCTATCTACCTACTTACCCGCAAGATTTCCCACCCCTAGAACAGATGAAGCAATCTACACCCCACTAATCCCACCTTAATCATAGCTTTCTCACCAAGTAACGACGAATTGTACAATCCGGGCCCCGGGACCAAGAAAGCGCGACGGATGAGGACGGTATGGCAGGAGAGGTGGCTAGTCAGCTAGTTGACTGACTATCGTGCATTGAGGAGAGGAGGGAGAATGAGAGGAAAGGGGTGGAGAGGCGATGACAATAGACGTGAGGTTTCGGCAGGAGCGCACGACAGGATAGGCGGGGAGAGAGAAGGCAGGGAAGACGTAGTGAGGGGAAGATGTAGCGCGTGCTCGCTGGCTTGTATTGCTATAGGAATTTTAGGAAAGCGACAGAGGGAAAGCAAGGGAAGAGACGGAGCGGAGAAAGAGGGGAGAAAAAGGGGAGGGGTTGCAGGAAGACATGGGGTTGGGAGAGGGTGGTATTAGTAAGCTGCCGAATAGAGAACAGGCTACGTTTGATCGGAAGGGTAGAATCCTGTGGCGGGTGGGACGGTCGATACGAAAAACAGAGGGGGAAAAGGTGTGTAACAAATGAGATGCAATAGAGAGCCGAAGGAGAGGCAGGCAGGCAGGCAGGCGATTGCGCCTTTCACTTGTGACTTCGGCGCTTTTTATGTAGGCGGGCATCTAGCAGATGGGCACTTCGCAGATCGAGAGTCCGTTAGTGGAGGCATGATTGCTTGGGGTAAAAGGGGTGCTCAGGCGAGCGAGTCAGAGAATGGAGCAGCTGTGTTTGTAGTGAGTATTTATGCAACTTCGACTGCTACATCTGCCCTGCAAATCCTTAATGCCGTGTGGCTTCCTTCGTCTATCTATCGTAAGCAAGCTGGCAAACATTTCGTCATGATAGCAAGAGATGTGGATCGTAATCCCTCTATGTGGACAGCAGCAGCCATTGAAAGTACTTTTGCTCCCCTTCAAATCGTTGCGTGTCGTGTCGTATCGTCGTTGCGACTGGCGGCTACTTCTTCTCCTTGTCCTGTGAACGCAGTCCCATCCTTGTCGATGGCGCGGCTGCTTGTGGCTTCTTCTTCTTCTCTGCAGCGGCTTTGTTGCCTTCTACAGCGGCCTTTCTCTCTGCGGCTTTGGTTTGTTTATTCATGGCTTCTTTCTCCGCGGCAGTCGCTTTCTCAAGTACCATCCTTTCAAATTTCAGTTCCCTTTCCGCAAGTCGTCCGGTTTCAACATCTCTAAGATGGGGGATGAGGTATTCTTTGTGGTATTTGAGGAGTTCGTTCTTGCGCTCCGTGCAGCCCCAGCTCTGGATATTGTCAATACAGCGTTGCATCCTTGGAATATCGTTTCGAGACCGGAGAAGCGCGCCAGTAACATACTCCATGTGAAAGTGAACAGTGCCATCACTTTGCTTTTCAGCGAAGTGTACCCAGATGCTAGCAACATTTGAATCAATGGTCATTGAATAGACAAAAGTCCGCTCGTCTAGACCCTCGGCGATGTCCTCAACACCAATGGCATCAAGGAAGATCCGCAAGACCGACACCAGCGTTGCGCCCGCTCGGCAAGCTTGGTTGTTTGCTGCAGCCAGTAGACCTTTGTTGCTTTTACCCTCAATCAAAAAGAAGGCGTGGCACATGCCAGCGATCAGTGCTAGCAATCTCTCCATATTTTCATACGCGCGACAGCCGGCAGGCAATCGAAAAATCTCCTGCTTCAAGCCAAACACCCGGTCCGGCTTGGGATTGGTTATACTGTCCTCCTTCTTTAGCTCCTTCGCCAGAATGTCATCTTCGCCACAAAAAGGAACGAATCCGTCTTTGAACAGAGGATTGAGCAGCATCTTGACACCTTCCTCGTCCCATCCCCGTAGCTTGTATCTCCGATGGGGAAGGACCGGTCCCGCTGGCAATTCTTCCCATACCTCTTGCTCTGGGGCGTCTGGTACCTTTCTGTACCGAGGAGCGAGCAGAGGGATGATCGCGTTGAGATATGAATCCTCATTGTCTCCCTGGGTCTCTTTGTAGGCTCTCTCGAACCGTTCAACTGATTCTTGTCCCATTTCGATGGGCAACACACGCCCAATCTTTTCGTCTATCGTATTTGAGAAGTCCTTGTAATGCTCTTGAAAGTGACCCTTTTCCTGGTACATGTGATGCTTTTCGAGGCGGAGGCGCACTTCATTAGGATCCTTCGTGGTGGAGGCAGTGCCGGAAGTAGGGGCACGAGTATGAAGGACGCCCGAGGATAGGCTGGATTGAGGCGGGGTAGCTGGCGCATTGACGCTATTCTATGCAGCCAATTGTCAGTTTTGCCAATCTCGAAGGAGTCGATGGTAGTAGAGCGCACCTTGATTTGGTCGACTCTTGGAGGCATTGCTCCGCTTTTTAGACCAGTTTGCGCAAGGCGAGCACTCCGGCGAACCAGCTTTGGAAGATTTTCTGATTCTGGCTGACAGGTTTGCTGATACGATCGTTTCAGCTTCCGGTGCTGATGCGTTGAGAGAATGTTGTCCAGCCAAGATTCAATATGTGTTGAAGCGTTGCACGACTGGGAAAGCGGGGCCGAAAGCGGAGGCGTGGGAAGACCGAGAGGGCGAGAGTAGTCTGACAAATCATTCATGTCGGTGAAGGTAGCTCAATGCGCCGCGAGAGTGAAGTGAGAGTTGTGAATAATGGCAAAGTGTTGTTGTTGTTTATAGGAATCGAAAAGTGAAGGCGCGCGCCAAGCCTTCCGATAAGATAAGATATTGCCAAGCCCGCTTTTCCTCCATTAATTCTTTAAAGGCATACCTTATGAATTTTAATTATATATTATAAAATATAGGAAACATATATAATAATAAGAAATATATATTTATAAATATTTAATTTATTATAAGTAATAATTATTATTATTATTAAAATAAATATATAAAATATATACTTTATATAAGTTTATAAACTATATAAAAAAGTAAAATATTATCTATTTATTAAGTATAGTAAATGTTATTAACTTAATTAAGTTTTTTATAATTTAAAATTATTATTATATTATTTATATTATAAATATAATTATATATTATATATAGTTTATTATATTATTAATATTTAATATTTTTTTATATTTCTAATTTAATTCTTTTTATTTAATTTAAGTAATATTATATTTAAGTTTTAAGATACTTAACTTATTATTTAATATATATAGCTTAGATTATAAGTTAGTTTTAAATAAATTAAATAATACTTTCCCCTTAGTATTATAATTATTTTTAGTTCTTTTCGTATACTTTATACTACTTTGTCTGCTAGCACTACTACTATATTATTAATCTTCTTCCCTTTAACGAGCTGTGTGGCCTGCGATTAGGGGATTATAGAAAATACTTAGGTATTTTCTGGAGAGATACTATCTCATTGGTCAAGATGGCTTAGTCAGACACAAAGTCGTGTCGAACACTGCTCCTTGAATCCTTCGTTCCTTCTTTCACTGTTAGTGCTTACTAGATAATATGAAAGTTTGCTGCAGCATGATGCTTCGATTGCGTATGCGGGTGGCGATGTCCGTGATCGAGTAAACGACAAAATAGATGTTCGTAGTGTGGAGCGAGCTTGTTTATGCATTGCAACATCGTCTTCTCTTTCCACTAGGCTCCCGTATTTGTGCTTGCCAACCGTTCTCACTTACAAAAATAATTGATCAAAACATCGATTAAAATGAAACGAACACTAATGAAAAAGAAGACCATGCCAGAGACGCAGTCTGGGAAGTTGTCGAATACAACTACCAAGGAATACCAGTCCTCCACGCTCCAAAGCCGGGACAGCTTCAGACTTCTGAGACTTTACCCTCAAACTCCAAGCGCTGATATCAAGTGTTCCTTGAAAGAGGTGAACATTGCCGATAAAAGGGGGTATGGTGCTGTGTCTTATGTGTGGGGTGTTCCGAACTTGACAAGAAAGATCTACTGTGGGAATGCGTACATTGGAGTGACTGAACACATTCATGCTCTGCTTCGACGAGTATGCAATTCTTCCAGGGATGTATATATTTGGATCGATGCAATTTGCATCAATCAGAAAGATCTGACGGAGCGCTCAACGCAAGTTTTGCTCATGCGAAAGATCTTCTCTGATGCTGGACAAATACTTATCTGGCTAGGAATTGATCCTGGGCCTGCCGCCCCGGCTTTTCAGATTATCTCTGACTTCAACGTCCTTTGCGACAAAGCTCCGAAGGGAGCTTTCAGAGACAACAATCATGAACGTCTGCAATCAGCTGAGGACCTCCATGCTTTCGTTCAAGGCTCGAACGGCCGCTCGATTGCCAATCTCTTTCAACATGACTGGTTCCACCGAACTTGGACATTTCAAGAGGCTTTCAGCGCTCGGCCACGTGCAGCGCTAGTGCTTTATGGGGATTATGATATTGAGTATGAAGAGCTCTCAGTCTTCGCTGTCTACATGTGCAGCCTGGCAATCCAAGGAAGTCTCCAAACCCACCGGGCGCGAATGGGCGTCAATCATGTCGTGAAGATCAAGCAATATGCCAATAGCGAGAATACGCTTCTTGGGCTTCTTAAGATCACCCATGCAAGGCGCGCAACAGATGCTCGAGATAAGATATATGGATTGGCCTCTCTTGTGGATCCGAAAGAGCTTCCATACCCTCCATCTTACGAGATTGATGATCATACTCTTTTCCGCGATCAAGCAGTCCATATGATCAAAAGAGCCGGAAACCTTCGACTACTTGAATCCTGCATCTTCGAAGATACAGTTGCTGCAGGTCTGCCTTCTTGGGCTCCCTCATGGGCACCGACAGATACCCTCGTGACAGCGTTTCATCACGAACACGAACCATTCTGTCCAGGACCCGCGGTAGACCCTACTCGAACGCCACGAGTTGATGGTGATATTCTCAAAGTTTATGGCGCTGTAGTAGATGCCATCCGGAAACTAGGCTGCAAGATGGAACTTTCAGATTTTGAGAGTAATACCACCTCTTTCGCAGATCATGAAAATGTCATCGAACTACTCCTCGACCGAGAATCAAAAGAGCTCAGAGATCTGGCGACTGCCTACGGATCGCCAGAAATGAGGGAGCTCGCACGAGCGCAAACGCTTATGGGTGGAAGAAACCGAGATGTAAGTAGAGCTGATGCCGATGCTGCCATCAAAGTACGAAACCATCGTCGCGTCTCTGAAAGTAACGGCGGAGGCGCCAGTTTCGGTGACTACTCGGTAAACGATCGTGCCTGGAACGATTTCAATGAAGTGGCCTACCAATTGATGCATGCCGCAGATGGTCGCAGGCTTTGCTTAACCAAGTCAGGACGACTTGGATGGGTGCCTCTGACCAGCGAAGAGGGTGATGCGATCAGTGTGCTGTCTGGATCACAGGCCGCTATTGTGCTTCGCCATCAAGAAGACAACAGGTATCAAGTCATAGGCGGAAGCTACATCCACGGCATCATGGATGGTGAGGCTCTCAAGGAACCAGGTCAAGATGACCAACTAGGCTTCCTGCAATTGGTATAGATGTCTACAAATCATAAGAGGAAGATTAGTAACAAGGCAACCCTCCTCCCGCACCCAAATGTCTTGAGTCCGAAAGGGTACGGACTTGGCCGATATCAGCCCTTAAGGATTGAAGATAATGTATTCGCCTATTAGAATGCGGGACTGCAACCCCCTTCATGAAAAGCGCTACATGATACTTTGAAGCGACATGTAAGGACAATAAGTGACGTATTCCTGCCTCCAATTGACATCTCAACCAAAGTCCCACTTACGATCAAATAGGCTATATGATTCTATATCCTCAAACCCCATTCCAAAAACCCGTAAGACGTTACACGAGTAGCTTGATACATCTAAACCGCTTGGACAAAACGTCTCACGAGTAAGATGAGTAATCAAAGGCTCTTTAAACCTCCTAACTTCGACTTAAAATGGTTAAGAGGTAATTAAGACTTGTCCTAGATAAGATTCGTAGAATTGATTAGTCTAAGCGCCGGGTCTCCTACGCTCTTGTGTCTCGCGGACTGGTCGGCCCTATTGGCTATCTTTTGTCTCCGACATCAACCTCTAGCTCAACGGGAACTTATTGCTTCCCGTGCAGTGTCATCGTCGTACTTGCAATTACACCATGACGTCCATTGCACTTTGTCATCTGTAGGCAGGCTAGCAGCTGACTCATTGAAGGAGCCGTCAGCGAGTATACGCTCAACAAGCTTGAAAGCTAACCACTGACCATTTCTAAGCTCACAACGCGGTGCTGATCCCTCAAAGATCGCGCCTCTTTATTCCTACCATGAAGCCGTGAGGTACGGGATAGACTATGGGCTTGTAGCCTTGAATCACGATCAGTAGCAGGCCGCGTTCCACCGTGCCGCCACTTGACATACACAAGTCTCCAAGCCTCCTATCTTAGGAATCACAGCCTTGTCAACGGTGCGGGGAACTTCTACGCCCTCACATATAAAGCCAACTATCTTCTCTGCATTTTCGCAGCTTCCGTAACACCACACCATTGGATAGAGAAGCCCAAAAGAGGACCTCCCTTGGACGTCTCATTCTTCCGCTAGCAGCTAGCACTACTCACACAATATGAGAACCAAAACACAACTTCTCCAAATCCTCATATCAACGCTCCTCCTCGCTCTCTCCTTGGCTATCCCCGTCGCGGGCCCGCAGAATTCCAACGTCGTCAATCCAAGCGGCCAAGTTGCACCCAGCATATCGGAACCCACACCAGACTCGACTTACGTTTGGGGGTAATTACCCCTTTACTCCCTCATTCTTGCCCCCCTTTTCCCCTCCCCGCCCGCCTTCAGTCCTCCTTACCTCTCCTCTCCCTTTACTCCGCTTCCCTTGCTTCTTTCCCGAGAATTTCGTTCTTCGAGGCCCTCTGAGTCAATCACAAGCTCACGATTCCCCACAGAAAAAGATACATCGACGAGCCACCACGCTGCGTCTGCTACATCGGCACCGCGCCCATCGCGCGCGACAATAGCGTTTGCGAAGGCAGGAGTGTACTTCCTGGACAGCCGCCTGGGCCAGGGTGTCCGGATCCAGCACATAGTGTTGCGAATCCGCCTGATGCTGGAGGGTTTCCGACCAGCGAGTAGGTGACTTGGAGCGGGAATGGATAGTCACGAGACTTGGTTAGGTAAGTAGGGCGCAGAGACAACGGGTCCCTGAAGGCAGCTAGGGCACCTGAGGGTCGGATCAGATGAAAGCTTATCTCCCCTGAGAAATTTCGAAGTGCTGTCTAAGCTCCTGACAGCCATTGACCATTGCATCGATGCATTTGGCGAATCGTCATATTAGCGTGTCGAGATAGTCGAGTCGACGAACAAGGCTTTACAAACCCTCCAGAAACGGCGTGATCCTTTCTCCTCTCTGTGAATGCTGGCATGATCGGTCCTTCCTTCGCTCCCGACACTTGAGCGATCTTCCATGGCGAGACAGTAATCGTCCAATTCGGCTATTTCCTGAACCTCATCTTCCTGACTGTTTGTGGGATGAGGAGGATGGGAAAGGGTCTGAGCCTTCCCTCCCGGAAGTGGTCGCAGGGCATCATCTGCCAAGCCAGCTGCCGGGCGCGAATGATCAGGCCGGTCTTCATGACTCCTTCGCGCAGTTGAATGAGGAGGCTCATTTCCAGTCTCGTCTATGACTGTAACGACTTCAGAGCGGGGTCTGCGCCGTAGCATTACCCAGAGCAATGCAATCAAAATTCCTCCAACGAGTACTCCACCCAATACGCCAAGAATGATGCCAGCCAAAACTCCTCCGCGGTTCTTCGCTTTCGGAGTGTGCTCGGGTGAATTCTGGCTGCCACCGGGGGCAGTCGGGCTAGCACCGCTGCCACTGGTCAAAGGCGTGCTGGTAGTGGTATTGTTGTGCAAAGACGTTGAATCTGAGGCCGTGATCGAGGGCGATCTTGATGAAGCAGTTGAACTTGCAGGCGACTTTGTAAAGGTACTTGATGGCGTGGTTGAAACCGGCTCTTGTGGTAGGGTAGATGGTGCAATTGTCGTCTGCTGAGGCGGCATGTAATACGTGAGGTTGGGAGTGTACATTTGCTTCATCGGCATGTCTCCCTGGGAGTCTTTCGCCTGGTAGTCTTTCCCGTTGAAGACAACGTAGTCGGTGCCTAACGCTTTTTCACAGAAGTCGGAGAGATTGCTGTCCTAGCTCAGCACAAGTCAGTGTAGGTAGTCATAGCATCTCATAGCAAACAATACTCACGTGATCGGTAGCTGAGGCGCATATTGCCAACAATGCAATTCGATTAGATAATTGCGTCTCACGAAGGGCTTGTGACGCATATTGGTTGGCTGCATTGGCAATTCTGACGCTCTTGACTGCGAAAATTCCGAACGAAATGGCGACTGCGAAAGCAGCGAGTTGGAGAATTGCGCTGATGATAAATTGACCGACGGGCGGTGACAATTTAATGACTCTTTGGCTGTCTTGCATCAAGGCAGATGCTGCATCGTCGACGATATGTTCCGCATATTTCTCCCTGATCGGCTTTCTTCTCGATCTTGGGGAAGGACTCTCTGGCTGAGGGGATCTATGTCGACTTCCGGCTGACGTCCTTCGCATTTTGTGTGCAATAACAAGATCATCAGCTAAGTCTCGAGCTCAGTTCGACAATGTATGTCACAAGAGGCTACATTTACGTGAGAGACGATGTGATAAGGAAAGAGAGGAAAGACACAGCCCTTAGTGACGGCTTGCTCTCTACATTCTTGTGGAGGGGTCATAGCCTTGTCCGTTAAATCTCCAGCCCCCAAAGGGCATGCAGCTAATTCTCCTAGCCCTGTTAGGCAAGGTTTGCATGCACAATGGTGGCGCGAAGATACGGCTGCTCTGTCACTTGCATTAGTTGCATCGAGTCAGCCTAACGCCCAATGAAGTTTACTTTGGTGGTTTTCACCACCTCAATCTACTTTCCTGTCGTCTTTTCCTCTTCTGCGTTGGGCCTCTCGGATGCTTGACTGGTATGATCCGCATCACCGTGGTTTTTGGGCGATACGATGCCTTAGGCTTGAGATGAAGGCTGAATTGTGGATAAAAGCAGTGAGCTACTTCCTCGATACGTGAGAATGGGGTGCGAATGAGGGGAGTCTTTCACCTCGCTCGGAGGGAAAGACAAATATTGTGAACTTTCAGAAAGGCCCAAAGCCCAGCCTTCAGGGGACTTCTCGACTTGAAAAGACAAGATTTCAGGAAATACTCTGGTGAGCCACACGGACTTGGAATCCTTCAATATCTCACGGTTCGTCTCTATTGAGAGGTGTGATTTCGTTGCATATTCAAGTGATGAAGATGCTTGTGCATTTGTGAAGCCAAAGATACGAGACAGGCTTGTTGTGACTCTTGTGGGCATTACCGTAGCCTTCTTTCACGACTGTCGCCAGAAATGCTGAAACAGTCAGTCATGCACCTGTGCGTTTTGGTGAAGCGAAGTTCGAAGTCAGCATTGCTTCATCAATAGATCTCAAGAGCTTTTCGAGTCCAGATTCATTGAGGACTCATTGAGACAGGTCGCTATAGAAAGATCTGCGCCACTGTTCAACGCGTGGGATCTCTTTGATTACATCATTGCAAGGTAATGTCTGCATTGCGTTGCCGTATGACGTCCGGATGTTCCCTGGTAATCTGGAGTAGTCAGACGAGATCTTTCGATAATCAAGATAGAGGCTCCAGGATGAATCTCTGCGTCCGAGAGATCCGGACCAGGAGGATCAGGTTGTCCTGCTCGATGTGCTTTATTGAGGTTTAGCACGCTGATTCGAATTTCGCTTTGCAACCATTGGGCTATAGTCGACAAACATGGCTCAAAATCTTTCCCCACATCCATCACCACCCACCCAGACTCTACGCCCTTTGCGGAAATAGGAGTGGATCTACAATTCCACGTAGCATGATTGGGCAAACAGGATGGTTCAATTGCCGAGTCGGCTTCTCCTGCCAAGATGTTGTAAGATATTTCAATTGACGCCGCAACCCTTTAGCCTTACTTATGAGTGGATATAGGGCCGGAGAAAATTTAATCTATGCAGAATTTACCAAATTTGTTTCGTCCTTCTCGCTAAGAGTTCTAGGGACTGAGGTGCGCCACGGCCCTGCCTTGCATAGCAACATCTCATCACCGACTGTGTGCAGATTCAGGTCACGAAGGAATCCGTCCTACGACTATTATCAGGCAGCTTTTTGTGTATAAATATCGTGTCGAAGGCGCCCTTATTGATCTTGAAAGACTTCATCGCATCCAAACACCTCTAAGAACCAGCTCGAAGACACGAGTGCTCCACAAGAAATAGATCTCGTACACGATATCACAAGGCCAAGAGTATAATCGTTCAGCGTTCCGCATTCACATCATCACCATCAGTATGCTTACCAACCTCCTCGCAGCTGCGACTCGCAGCACTCTCTGTTGCCTTGCCCGTGACCCATAGCAACAACAAAATTCCGCTAGTGCCTCGAGATAATATCCCATTCCCGCCAGCTGGCCAGTGTGCTCTTGTTGTCATGTCCGGAGCCATTGTAGGCATCGGGGGCGAACCACCAGTCACCACCGACTCGGGCATTGGAATTGCACCCTCTTCCGTGGGCGATCCCGTGGCAGGAGTGATCAATACTTATGGGATCACGGTTGGCAATTACGTCACGCTTACAACACACAGCCCTGGGTTTTCCGCCTCCATCATGCTGGACGACAACCAAATTATCGATCCTGCGGAGATAAACATGACGGCTGAGTGAGTGCTTCCTTCTACAGTCCCATTTTCGGCGTTGTCAACTGACACGATCATCTGGTGCATAGTTGGATAGCTCCTGAAGATAAAGACTGGGGCGTCAAATGGTCCTACAAAGACCAACAATCGGACTGCTCGAATAAAAAATGCGGTTATACCAGTGTCGGTGATGCTCTGTCGCTTCAGAGTGCTATCACTGCAAACTTTTTTGCTAAATAAGTGTGCTGCAACGCGTCGACGTATGAGAGTGCTGAGACGTATAAATACTTTGCTGAGTTAGTGGTCTCACGAGCTTGGACATAATAATATAATAAGTTATAAATCTAATATTAGCTGTGCTGGCCTAGGGCTTAAAGGTTTTAAAACCTCGCTACTAAGTGTTTATACTAGCTAAAGACTAACTTTCTCGCTAGTAAAGCTATGTAGCTGCTTTTAAACTAGTTAAACCCCCTTATTAATATAGCTTTAGAATTTATATCTATAGATTTATATATAAAGACAGTAAGTAAATATTTTAAAAACTTTTTAATTAATAGAAATAATTATAAAAATACTAAAATAAAAGCTATTAAAATATTATATAAAAGCTTAAAAAATTAGGCAAAATAAGTTTTTAATTTATTAACCCTTAGTTTAGCTAAATCCTTTAATAGTTTTATAAGCTTAAATATAATAATATAATAAGTTATAAATCTAATATTAATTATATTAGCCTAGGGCTTAAAAGTCTTAAAACTTTATTATTAAATATTTATATTAGCTAAAAATTAATTCTCTTGCTAGTAAAACTATATAGCTGCCCCTAAGCTAACTAAACCTATACTTAAACCTAGTAATTAAATAACTATTTTAAAGAAATAAAGCTAAAAGGTATAACTCTTTAATATTAGCTATATAAAGTAATAAAAAGTATCTAAATATAGCTAGTAAGTTATTTAATAAAGAATTAATATAATAAATATAAATTTCTAATTTCTAGCGGTTTAAAAGCTAAATACTATAATTTAATAAATTATTTCTTTTAACTTAATTTACTACTTCTTTTTTAAAAGAATATCCTAAGTAATAGCTTTATAAGCTATAATTCTATAATATAAAGTATAGTTTATTAATAGTAATTTCTTATATAAATAGGCTTAAAAATAGCTAAAATAATAGGAAATCTATTTAAAAAATTATAAATAAAAATAGGTAATATAATAAATTAATTAAATATATATTATTATCTATTTTAGTAATATATAAAATAATGTTTTTTTAATATAAATTATTTTTTAAACTTAAAAGTTCTAATATAAAGTATTTCTTATATAAAATAATTAATAATCTTATTAAATACTAGTAAGGAAGTTGAATATTAGGTTTTAATATTATATATAATTTTATCTAAATATAAAAAGCTTATAAATACTAAATAAAAAATAGTATATAATAAAGCTTTATCAAATCTAAATATATTTAAAATTTAAATAATCTTAATTAATATATCTTTAGTAATAAGTTATTATTTTTTAATATTATATTTATTATAAGTTTTATAAATTTTATTAATTATATATTTAATTAACTAGCTAAAAAACTTGTAATTAAAGTAGTTATTACTAAATCCCTATTTTATATACTTTAATTTTATTTTTATAAAATATACTTTTATTATTTTTAGCTAAATTTAAAAATAAAAATAATTAATAAGCTATTTATATAAATTTTTCATTATTATTAATATAATAGGTTTTAAGTTTCTAAATATATAAAACCTAGAGTAGCTATTATATATATTTATATATATAATATATATATTTTTACTAAGCTATAGTTAAAAACCTTAATAAGTTTTAATAAAATTAAAAATTGAGATTATTAATAAAAAAGCTAAAATATTAATATAGCTATAATTTTATAAAGCTTATTAATTAAAGATAATTATTAATAATTTTTTTAAAATAAAAATAAAAAAATTATTAACTAAAATATTTATTTTTCCTATTAGCTAGTTAGTTTTTAAATTAATATTAAAAATAGTAATAATTAAAACTACTTTTCTAATAATAATAATTATTAGTTTTTTTATAAAAAGTTTTTTATAGTTATAGTAAATTAGCTTATTGTCTTTTATTATATATATAGTTTAATTTACTAATAGCTTTTTCTATTAAATTAAAATATTTAAAATTATAAATATTTTTTAAAATTAAATATTTATAGAAGTTAATACTTAGAAAAAGCTTATAATTATAAATTTTAAAGTTAGTAGTTTAATAGGGTTTATAAATAAGAAGTATTTAAAACTTTTTATAAAAGTAGTATTTAACTAAAAAAAAACTTTTATTAAAATTTTAAAATATATTTAAAATAATAACTATTATAATATAATAATAAAATATTTTACTATTTTAAATCTAAATAAATATTTTTTTAACCTTATACTATATTTTTCTTTTTATAAAAGTATTATATATATATTTTAAAAAAGAGTATCTAAGCTATATAACTTTTATAATAAAAGTTAAAAGTTTAATAAAAGAATTAAAATCTTTATATAGAATTAATTTCTTATTAAAGATATAAAATATATTTATTAAAGTTTTTTAGAATTTATTTTTAGGAATTTAATATATATATTTATAATATTAATTTTAATACTTAGGAATTCTATTAAAGAACTAATAATATTTTTCTTTATATTAATAACTAAGTTAAAATCCTTATAAACAATATTAAAGTTAATATTATATTATTTTATATTAATATTTTCTAGTAAAACTGTAAAAAAGTTATCTAAATAATATAGAATAATAAAGTAATAAAATTTATAAAAAATAATATAATATAAGTTTTTAATAAAAAAATTAAAAATAAAAAGATTATTTTTAAATTAAAAAGGAAATAATAGTTAGCTTAATATATATTATTCTAATAGAAACTAAAAAGCTATTACTTGTTTATTGCCACTAGTATATATTGAAAAATATTAAATTTTTTTTATAAATATTACTCTCAAGCTTATCTTAAGTATTATATTAATAATAATATTAAATTTAATATATTTAAAAGCTTTATTATTTATATTAATAAAGTTATTAATAAAGTTACCCTTTAAGTATAATAGATTATAAATTTATTTAAATTTTTTATTATTTTTTAAGACTAAGTTTAAAAAAAGAAATATAAAATAAAGTTAGAATTATAACTATTTTTAAAAACTAATAATAAGTATTTTATTTTTCTATATCTTTTATAATAGTTTTTAAATCTATTACTATAAAAAGGTAAAGTATATTTAATAGTAGCTAGTTAAAGCTTTTATAGCCTATTTAAGCTCTTATTTTTATAATTTATAAAATTTACTATATATAATACTTATTTCTAAATAATTCTATAGCTAATATACTTATTTATTATATAATAGTAATAAAATTCTATTTAAGAAAAAATTAGCAGTATTAGCTATAAAGTATAGTAATCTTTTTAAAATATTGCTTAAAAAGAATAGAATTATAAATAATTATTTTAAATATAAGACTTTATTTTAAAAAAAAATTTAAATTTTATTTAAATTTTAATAATTTTTACTTTTATAACTATTATATTTAATTATTTTATATTTATCTTTATATATTCTATAAATATATTATTAATAGTAAAGTAATTTATAGAAATTTTTATTAATTTAATTATAATAAATTTATTTATTTTTTAACTTTATTAAAGTTATTAATAAAATAGCTAAAAAAATTATAACTTTATTTTTTAAAAATTATTTATATTTTAGATTAGTTTTAGTTTTTACTTAATATTTTAAATTATTTTATTATATTATTATTATTCTATTAATATAATACTTATTAAAAACTTTAATAAATTTTTTATATAATATAATAAAAAAAACTAAAAATAGTATTTATAATTTAATAACTTTTTATAAAAAGCTATATATTTATTTTAAAGGGTAAAATAAACTAAAATCTCTTTATAAACTAAGAAGTTATATATAATATTAAATTTTTAGAAGTTAAGTCTTTTATAAGTTATATAATTAAGTTATTAATAAATTTAAAAAAATCTTTAGCTTAAAAAATACTTTTCTAAATTTTTTTAATATATTTAAAATTAAGTTTAAAAATCTAGCCTTTAAGATTATATTAAAAAGAGGGCTATTTACTATCTAATATATTTATAAAGCTTATATATAGTTCTTATTATATAAGAAAATACTTATAAAAATCTTTTATCCTATAACTTAAATAAAGAGAATATATAAAAAAAGTATACTTAAAAGGAGGAAAAAATATAAAGTAACTTTAATAAAGAGGGTATATAATAGTTAAAAGCTATAGTAGGTTTTTAAAAAGATTTTTACTATTATTTAGAAGTTTTTTATTTTTAATATTATTAGTAAGTTATAATTATAAATAAAAAGTACTTAAAAAATAGCTAAAAAAAAGCTAACTATAGCTAGCTTTAAAAAGCTAAACTTTATATTACTTACTATTTTTATCTTATTAGCAAAGTATTTAAAATAGTAATATATAATACTATAAGCTAAGAAGAAAATATTTATAATTATAGGCTCTTATTACTTATAGATTTTCTAACTTTAATATTAGCGGCAGTAAAGCTACTTATTATTTTATAAGCTTTAAATATTTATTTTTTCTTTTAAAAAAATAATATAATAAAAGAAAAAAGTTCTAAGCAATAGAACTAAAAGCAAGGTATTATAATATTATATTAGTATAAAAACTAGCTATACTTAAAGTCTTATTCTAAAAACCTTTTAATTAATAAAAATAATTATAAGAATAATAGAGTAGGGGCTGCCAAAATACTATATAAAAACTTAAGAGATTAGGCGAAATGAGCTCTTGGCCCACTAACCCCTAGTCTAGCTAGATCCTACTATAGCGAAGGTGGCAAGTAAACCTACGGTAGAGGATCATTTAACATACCAGTGCAGATCTTGAGAGAACACTGGGGATACCCATGCAAGCGCTGCAAATACATTTACCTCGAGGAGTATATTGTGTTTTGTTTTGTTGCTGCTGATACACATGTATTCTATTATGAATTCGATAGCATACCTTGGGAGAGTAGACACACTCGTTTCCAGCGAGGATACGTCCACAGTAAGAAAATATCCTAGATTTGAACACCACCATAGTAATGATAAAGCTTCAATACCGCATGATGATTTTGCTTTGGAAATGGTCCATTCTTGTTGACTTGAATTTGGCATCATCCTTTTGCCAGTCGAGCCTGATGCCTATGGTGAGGAAAAACAACGTGCTGTCCTCCTCTGTGTATCGTCTCTAGCCTCTTCTCGAGGGTCAGCCTTGAATCACAATCCTGTTTCCGGTTGGGGCTAATAAGTTGGCTTAGAACTAGGGGGAAGCGGAGGGGGCCCACGGAGAAGCCGAACCGTGCAATGTCATGGGGAGTCATTAGATGGACGTAGCGATTCATGCCCAAACATAAGCCGCCGCCATGCTTCCGCTCGCACAATATGGGGTGGCGCTATCTCCACTGGACTCTTGGGGCGATAGTCTTCGTGCTGAGTATCCTTCGCGTAACTGTCTTAAGGCTACAGCATTCCCCCAAATGGCTAATCACGCAAGGGAGGGACACCGAGGTCGTCGAGACCCTTCAAAAGATTGCGACCGAGGCCGGCCGTCCTCTTGATCTTACTGCAGAGCAGCTACGCTCGTACGGTGACGTAAAAGATGCCGAGAAGTCTGCATGGTCCTTTAAGCGTCTTAGCGTACATGTCTACGGGCTGTTCAATAACCCGGAAGTTGGCGTATTCTGCGGTCAGCAATCATCGGGATCGTCCATCCTCTCTTCCACACATTCTTACTATACTATCTCTATCTAAGAGGGTATAAAGAGTGTGTCAGCAGTAACTACATCACCTGGAAGAACTACGCGATAACCCAGCTCTGCGGACTCTTTGGCCTTCCGCTCGCCGCATACGCCGTCGAAACCAAGTTACTCGGGAGGAGAGGCACGTTGGCTCTTACAGCAATAGTGACAGCAATCTTCCAATTCGGATATACGCAGGTGAAAACGCCAGAACAGAATTTGGGCGTTGTGTCTGCTACCACTATCTTTTCGTAAGCATGGATCGCAAAACAGAGGTAGGGGCTTTGAAGCTGACGTGAGATAGCATTGGCTTCTATGCGACACTCTATGCCTACACACCGTGCGTTGATCCATGCCCGTCCTGCCACGATAGTACTAACTTCATTGTAGGGAGATCTTGCCCTCTGCGCATAGAGCTACAGGATACGGTCTTGCGGTCGCAATCAACCGCTTCATGGGAGTCATGGCCATCATCATCGCCAGCTATTCGAATGTGGAGTCCGTCGCTCCCTTGTTCATATGTGCGGCGCTGCACTTCTTGCTCGCCGCCACTTCGGTACTCTTGCCGCTCGAACCGCGAGGCAAGAAGGCAGCGTAGAGCATTTAGGAGGATTGCCTTGCTGCTCTCTGGGATGACTCAATATTCGAAGAGGGACCTGTTGCGAGATGATGCACGTTGTGAAGCCACCGATGTAACGATCAGCAGCTAAACGCCCGCTGAAGCCCGATGAAGGATGTTTCGGTCCGCTGTGCCCGTAATTGGCCGGCCTGTCGATCACTGCAGGATGGGCTTCACTGTGCTGCTGCTAAGAGGGTGTCCGGCCATCCCTAGGCATTGGATCTCACCACTCGATACGAGGTTCCGCCTGTCTAATGCAGGCTGTAATATCCTGCCTCCTATTACACCACTCAGGAACAGGCTTTCCTGCAGTCGAGCTGCATTATTGAGGAACGTGGCTCCCCTTATCTGTCCTGAGGTGAAACATGTATTTAGACCAGCAAATGCTCAGATTGTTCTCATCTTTCAATCTTTCCATCTTGCATCTTACAAATTGCAGCGCAAAGAAATGGGTAGCCTCTTCGCCATCCTCACTCTAGCCCACCTCTTCTTCATAGCCTTATCTGCCACCACAAGCCCAGCTCACCAGCAAGTGTACTCACGCCAAGCAAGCGATGAAGGCGTTTAATACTTCATCCTCGAAAGCCAGGGCGTCCCACAAGGCAACATTTACGTGTACCCAGATCTGAACATCTCTGTGCCCGAAGATGGCGTGACGCGATACTACGGTAGCCCAGCCCACTTCCTTCCATCTTGCTTCCTGATCATCATGCGCTTCTTTCTCCCTCTTTCTCCCCTGGCCCGCCTTTTATTTTCTTCAAGCACCCCCATATACCTCACCACTAACCCACCTCCCCCCAGACTCCCCCTAATAATCTACTCCATCGTGACCGCCAATCTCGACACGAGTACCTCCCCACCAACTTACTACTTCGATTTCAACACCAACCCCTTCTGCGACTTCACATTCTCAGACTGCACCTTCTGGCCCATCCGCGGGAACGGCGTTGACGTTTATGGCGCTCGCCTGGTCAGCGTGACGTGCTACACCTATGACAAAGGCGGCTATGGACCTGGTAGTGGAGGGCCGAGGCCTATTGAGGGATGTACGCCTGAACCGAGTGAGACGAGTACGGCACCGTATCCGACCGCGACGGGGGCGCCGGGGGCGAGTGTGAGGAGGAGGGGGGTAGGGTATAAGATGCCGGTTTTGAAGGGGAGGGAGAGGCGGAGGAGTGGAGGTTAATGGTAAGGGTTAAGAGGCGGTAATGGCGGTAGGTGTATTGTTGAGCTGGCTGGTGGCGGAATAGGAAGGTGCCCAGGTTCGTCGCAAGGGATCGAAGTAATGTATCTTTGCGAAATATCATCTGCGAGGCGGAGTCGTTGGGATTCAATCAGCAGGCGCCGGTAATAATGTGTCTGAGAGAGTAGCAAGGCCCATAGTCCCCGTAGCGAGTTTTGCACCAAAGCATACTCTCTTTCCTCCTTTCTCCCCTCATGTTCATGTGTGTAGAGCTAAAGAAAGCGTCAAGGTTCCCGCCTAACAGATCTGGAAGCTCTTCTAATACAGTATAGTGGTCTTCAATCATGCCGTTTTCTTGTAGGAGTAAAAACAATGTCTATCTATCGTATACGTTTATACAACGTGAAAGATCTTAAAGAACGCTGGTCTTATTGCCGGCGTTAACAGACCCTGCAGTATTAACGGTACTAGGTTGGATGACGGCGGCAATCTCTTTTGGAGCGGCTGACGACGGCGCTCTCTGCACTGGCTGATTTTTGTTCTCAATACTAAGCTTGCCAACAATCCTCTCAACATCCCCGAGGATCCGTATAGTCCCTTCAATCACATTATACTGCTCATACGCGCCATACACAACTCGAAGTTGATCCAACAGAGCCGCGACGTCCTGCCACGTGAACCGTGGCCAATCCTGTTGCTGTACCCTCTCATAATCGAATTTGAGGCGGAGCATGACGTCGCCGACCGAGTGCTCCTCCCCTTGCGCTGATGCTTGAACGATGTTGGACATTAAAGGTGGTTGGCGTTGGCGATATGCTTTCGCCTGCCCCCAAAGGAGGGATATGATACAATCTTGATTCAGCTTTCGTTGGGTGTAGGAGATGCCTGAGAACTCTATGGATGGGCTTTCTGGTGGCCGAATGACCCATCGGTAAGTGTCGGTCATCGCTGATAAAGAAGGCGGCGTTTTCGAAGGCTGAGAATTGGCGGCTACGCCAAATACTAGCAGAACGACGAGCGCGGTCGTTATGCACCGTTGGAACGACATCGCTGACCAAGATGATTGAGCAGTCAAAGAGCAATGTACTTTGTTGACGGCCAAGTTCAGTGCCACTGGCGCAGATCTTAAATAGTAGTGTTGAGCAGTAGTTGCGGAACAGAGAACGTCGGTCATTGCTTTTTAACAATGCACGCAAAACTTTCTGTTGCATGAATAGGTCTATTTTGACTCATGCGCATCGAGAATCGCAACCGGGTATAGTTCACAGGGAGCGCATCGTCTGCGGCTATACCGACGAGACCGTAATACCTATTAAGCGTCTAGAATCACTGCCATTGGAGGCGAGTCTTGCCTTTACTTACCACTCAGCTTGCTAGGGGGTATTATAACCAGACTTGCATCACTATGTTCTCTCCATGCTAGTACGAGATATAAATAAAAATCCGCGCGCGAAAGAGACCATGTTAGACAATGTTAAATACTCTATAGTTGGAGCCTATAGGCGTATATTCTCTATCTATAATTCTATATATATAAATATTACTAACGAGTTAATAATTTCTTGCTATACTATTCTTATTTACTTTAAATAAATATAATATATAAAATATACTAGTATTAAGAAATAAGTATATAGTATTTTTACTTTAAACCTTTAATTATATTAAGTTTTAATATTTTTAATAAATTATAAATATTTATTAAAGTATATAAAATCTATTATTATATAGATTATAAATAATACTTATAATAACTTTAGATAATTCTTTTAAAATATACTTAGTAAATATATAGATAAATATTATACTAAGAGTAATTATATTTATATAGTTAAGATAATAATTAGATACTTATACCTAGAGTATTAGTTTATAGTAATTTATAAAAGAAGTATAGAGAATAGTAATTATTTCTATACTTTACTTAGAAAGGTTTTTTTAAAATAATAAGGTCTTAAAAACATTTTTTATTTCTTTAATATTTAGAGATAAAGAGCCTTAATAAGTAAAGTCTTTATAAATAGCTATATCCTATAAAGTATTTATTATATTTTTAATTTATAATATTATAATATTAATAAGCTATTAACTATTAAATATCTTAAAAGTCTTTTTTAATATTTTAATTATATTATTATTAATTAAATTAAATATTATACTTTTAATTAATAATTTAAAGCTATTATAATAGAGATTACTTTTATTAAATAATATTAAATATCTTAAAGAATTATAAAGTATTATACTTTAAAAGTTAATTAGATCCTAGAACTTAATATATTAAAGAATTTAAAAATTTAGTATTTAAGATAGAAAGTCTTTTAAACTATTTAGAAGCTCTTATACTATACTATTAAATCTATACTTTATTAAAAAGATAAAAGCTAATAAATTAATATTATAGACTTTAATTAAAACTTATATTATATATAAAAGTTATATTCTATTTATTATTATATTTAATATTAAGTAATTTATATATTTTAAAACTATTATAATTAACTATTTTTAATAAATTAAAATAATAGTTATAAAGATTAGAATATTATTATATAGTTTTTTTAATTATATTTAATACTTTTAATAAAGTATAAAGCTTTTTATTTTTTTATTTTAATTAATTAAATAAATTTATTATCTTTTTAAATAAATATTATAATCTAGACTTAAACTTATTATTTTTACTAGCGTTTTTAACTTCTTTTTATTTAATTATAATAACTAAAAATAAGTATATAATATCTTTATAGTTAATTATATTTAGGCCTTAAAAAATAAAAATTTTATTAGTAAGTATAGCTTCTTATTATATTTATATATATTACTATTATTTATCTTAGAAGATAATAGTTAATCCTATTAAAATATTATCTTTTTAATTAAAGTAATAAATATATTATAAGGCTATTTCCCTTTATAGAGTAAATAAATCCTTTAAATCTATTAATAAATAACTAAAATTAGTTATTACTATATTAAGTTCTTTAACTTTTATAAAAGATTTAAAGATTAAATCTTTTTCTATATTAGTCTCTTTTAGCTATATAATAGTTATATTAACCTAGGTATATATTTTATTTATTATTTAAATTTATTAACTTTTCTCTTTTTTATCTTTTTAATTAATATATATTATATTAATTTAAAGATAATATAATATATTTAAAAGTAGCTTATAAGTTTTTATATAATAACTTTTATTATTATATTAAAAATATTAATTCTATTATATTAAAGCTATCTTAATATTAAATATTATCTATATTTTAAGGCTATTAATAAAGATTAACTCTAAGAGCTAACTATTTCTTTAAGTATATAATAATACTTAATACCTTAGGTTATTGTCTAAAGAGATAATTTTTATTATATAGGTATATATATAACTATTGGGAACTAGTTAAAAGTTAAGACATAGCAATTATATATATTAGCTATAATTATTCAAAGTATACCTTAGCGCATAGTAAATGTTTTAGTTATTTTCTTTCAATAAAAACTACACACTAAAAGAAGGTTTACAGTACTATATATAGATCTAAAGTACCTAGACAAAAGCCGAAATAAATACAGTTAGGATCAATATAGTAACAAGGATTGAAGACGTTAATAATAGTAGTAGTAGATACCGCTCCTTAAAGCGCTATTAGAAACCACTATAAGGGTATTCCTTAGAGTACTGCATATATTTAGCTAATCGCGGATTGGCTAGCATATATTCACGATGGCTATAGCCCGCCGTTGCTTGATCTCCGGTCCTTTAAAAAAAGCAGATAGAAAATAAATCTAGGAAGAGGAAGAGATAGAGAACGCGAATATAAATGTTAAGATCGAGGTGTCAAGAGAGGCCCCTAAGCTTATAGCAAGAGTTGGTGAAGCAGATGACAGAGACAGCAGCGTAGATAACTATGGAGGCAATATACCTGAGTTAGGGAAAGTGGATCGTTGAAGTTAAAGCAGAAGGTAGAAGAAATCAAGGATTGTTAAAATCTAGAAGAGTGATTCGATCTAGAGAGGGTCTACACCTCCAAGGCAACAATGATTCTTAGACCGCATAAGGAGCTAAAATACTCGAACAGAAATCAAGAAAGTGCATAATTCTTATAATGCCTCTTGATAGCGTCAATCCACTACTAGTTATTGGGAAAAGACATGTCCTCTTGCCTTGCATACCACTTTCATAGATGCTATCCATTTTTCAGCTAGGAGGAGAGAATAAGAGAGGTGAGACTATGACAGCGACAAATAAATAGCTAAACACATAAGAACATAAGCTCTGTGCGTCTAGCAATGAGCTAGGCAAAGAATCAGATATTCGTCAATAAGATAGCTATACTATCGGACAGCAAAGACATGCCCCCTATGCTAGGGAGTAGACAGCCGCAAATACTACACAGAATAAAGATGGAACTAGCACGCTCCGCCCAATGCTTACGATCTTGACTACTATAGTCGCATTCTGCTTGCGCTAGCTATATTCGATCGCTTAAAGAGATTGAGCAAATAAGCCCCTTAGTAAAGGGGAAGTGAATTTCACAGTAGACACTAATAACGACTTAATTACAATAATTATAGCATATACTAATATATAGAAATATCGTAAGGAGTTTTTAGCCCTAGTTGATTATATAGTTGCACAAATACCATTTCGCTCCCTACCGGTTTATATCCGATATACAATGTTTACTCAATATATAATACTGAATTTTGCATTAGAAGTAACATATATATAGTATATATTTATAAAGTATTATAGCCGGAGGAGTTTCAGCTTATCGCTATATAACGGCGGCCAAATTTACAAGGTTTTTTTCAAAAGATCTAAAATTAGGTATATTGCAAAAATTAATAGGCTAATTATACGAGCTATACTGTAATAGGATTCGATTCCTTATGCTATCGCCCAAGCCTCCCCACTAACTGTTAATTAGCTTTACATATTGGCTTTGGATAAAATACGCCTATTCCGAAGCCAAAATAGTGTGGCTTTCCGCCCTCTTTCCTCCATTCCCCGAACGAAGCGTGGACTGGGTGCTGCATATGATAACCCCAACCAACATGTCTATGCATCATCATGCAGTATCGTAAGCACGATCACAACAGCCCAAGAGCCTCACAGCACTGCTCAGCTGGTGCGGGATTCCAAGCTCAGCCACAGTGGAGATGATCAATCGAGGAAGGCGGTGGAGCGACTCGGAGCGCTGGGCACAATATCCTGGTTGGTCACTCCCACCGTGCACTGTGAACGCAGTCGCATATCATTCATGACAGTCATTAGTCGTCTCTCGCGCCACGTGCGTTGGTGGAATACGCGTACGGCCATGGAGACGTCGCTACCTGTGGGCGTCGCATTTTTGCAAGATTCGTTCGTCGCGGGTCACGATATATCGTAAATGGTCCGCATTCTGTCTGGGGACGAACGGTGGCTCGTGGCTTGCTGTGAGGTGTCCACAGGAGTTGGTGCAAAGCTGATGGCGTACCGCCATGAAATCAATCCTGGCTCCATAGAAGGTCTCCACCCACGGGTATATAAGGACCTCTTCTCGCCCACCTTGTTCTTCTTTCTTTTCTCTTCACTATCTACTTGCCATCTATTCCCCATCTACTACTATTTACTAACAAATTCACTCATCTTCTGGTTCACTACTAACACCCCTAGCAGTTTTCACCATTACATCCGCCGCTCGGCTCTGCCACTGACCAACATCACTTACACTACCTCATAATTTCCTCTACTCTCTATCTCTTTCGAATATGGGCTCCACTCAAACGCTCTCCCTCGGAAACGCCGTCCTCCAACGCGAATGTCTTCCCTATTTCGCCTCCATCCCCGAACATCTCCCCAAGACCACCTCCAAACCTAAACTCCCTGCACCTCGGAGTCATCTTCCCTGGACCCTAACCTCCCCGCCCCCAACGCAGATCTTCCCCCCTCTTCCCCACTTCCCCCAAACCCCACTCCTCCAGCACATACGCCCTTGCCCCGACCAAACTCCACCCCGGTCCTCCCACACAAATGTCTGCCCATAGAGATCTTTCACCCGTTTCCCGACATCCTCTCAACATGTCATGGCATTTTCGCCGGGCTCGCCTGATCTCGTATAGAGCAGCAAGGCCAGAAATCATACTGTCTCTGTTTGATTGTAGGATCAAGATCTCCGGAGGGCCGCACCCAGTCGCGTTAAGGCATCTGCAAGAAAAAGGCAGGTGGAGGCCCCGATTAGTCCGATTGAATTTCAATTATCTAAAGACAGCTATGGATTTGCAGACCGACAGTGACCGAGTTCAGTCCCGAATTGCCTGAAGAGGCGCGCCACTCGCTAATTTTCGCTTAACAATCGACCAAGGCGTGGGCATTATTCCAGTAGAGATCAATCTGCATCAGCCCGAACGGAGAAAGAGGGGGCGAATGGGTTTAGACGGATATTCCGCTACCCTACCCCCATTCTAAACCTCCACATTGTGAAATCGGTTGGCCCAGCATTGCCGAGCGAGCGAGAGAAAGGGCATTACAAACACATTATGAACTTTCTCACCCATCACCGTGCGATCAATCCGCAAACGAACATGACAGACAGCTACAGACAGGTAGCTCTCAAGCGCGCAAACTGTGGCGGCGCTCATGGTTCTGTTTCAACAGCTCCAGCTCTTCTTCAACAATTGGCTCAAAGATCAACTCTAGCCTTCTCTCTGGCCTTTCTTTCCCTTTGCTTCGTTTCGCAATAAGGCTCGATTGCTCGACCGGAGTTAGTTGCTCGTAAACATCGTTAGAGTCTAATGGGAGAGAAATGGAACGCTAAGCCCCTAACCGATATCGCATTTACTACGAATCTCAACTCGATAGGCCTACTTGGAACCTATTACGTCAAGAGACAACTAAGCATCAGAGTGAGTAAGGAGCAATTTGCCACTCGACCATCGCAGGCATCAAAGAAAAGAAAGCTCTCAGGCTATCAATCCCGTGACGGCAAATCATGGCTTCTAAAAGTCGATATGCGTTCCCGCTTCACCCTCGAGATTATGCCTCCACGCCCACGCCGAATCTAGAGGAATGGCAGCAATTATGGCAAGCATGGGACTTAGTGACGACAGAGATGATTCCAAGGCACTCGCTGATGGAGCAGCCCATCCCTTTACGAAACCCTTTATTGTTTTATCTAGGGCACATTCCGACTTTGTAAGAGACCTACGAACTCTATTGCTTGGGATGAATGGTTGAATCGGCTGACTATGCCTTCGTAGTGAGGATATCCACATTAGCCGAGCACTCCGGGGTAAGCATACAGAACCATCCGTCTATGTGGAATACTTTGAACGCGGGATCGATCCCGATGTCGACGATCCGGAGGTGTGTCACCAGCATAGTCAACTTCCTAAGAGTTGGCCGACGGTTGATGAAATATTGGATTTCCGACGGCGTGTTTGTCGACGAATTGCGACCTTGTATGACGATGAGAATGTGTGGGCTGACCGTACGCTGGGAAGAGCACTCTGGATCGGATTTGAGCATGAAGGTAGACCTATCTTTCATGCTCCCGTACTTAGTGTCAACTTTGGGATAGTAGGAGGGCTGACAATAGGTAAAAGCGCTACACTTGGAGACATTTCTTTACATGACGCTACTCAGCCCCAATATAAAACCGCCTCCGGTTCCAATGCCAGACTTTCATGCTCTAGCTGAGAAGTCGAAGGGTGAGAGGAAACCCAATCAATGGTTCCGCATACCCAAGACCAAAGTCACGCATGGATGGTCCAATTCCGAAACTGACGAAGATCCAAGTCGTTTCTTCGTTTGGGACAATGAACGGCCACCCTATCAAGTTGATGTAGGGGCATTCGAAGCACAGGCTCGGCCAATAAGTAATGGCGAGTATGCAAGATATCTTGTTGAGACTGGTAAGACCGTTCCCGTCACATGGACAAGCCATGCTACTCCAGGATTGCCCGACCTTCGCAATGGTGCCGTCCAACATGACACTGCCCAGAACGGCATCAGTGCGGCCGGTGATCGTTATATTAGCGCCAACCAGATTACCTGTGTGCAGCCAGCCGCCTGTCAGCCCGCAACCGCTCAAGCTAATAGTATCAAACCCTCCCTAGAATCGTTCCTCGACAACACATGTGTCAGAACGGTCTTTGGGCAGATACCCCTACGCTCAGCCGAAGATTGGCCGCTGGTGGCCTCTTTCAACGAATGCAAAGCCTACGCCGACTGGGCTGGCGGCCGCATACCCTCATACGATGAGATTCGCAGTATCTACCACCAAGTGGAGCTGCAGAAGCCGTTTTTGCGGAAGCGATCCAACGGCGCAGATCACATGGAGCCGCTACATCCTGATCCAGAAGAGATGTTTGTCGATCTTTCAGGCTGCAATGTGGGTTTGCAGAACTTCCATCCCGTATCCGTGACACAGAATGGCGATAGACTGGCTGGACTGGGTGACATGGGTGGAGCTTGGGAATGGACAAGTACTCTTCTGTTGCCCTTTGAGGGATTCAAAGCTATGGATATATATCCCGGATATACAGGTACGGGCAGTCCTTCTTTTCTGGTTACCATAGCCGTGTTTGGGAGTATCTGAAGCTGACGAGTGTCTTTCGAAGCTGATTTCATGGATGGCAAGCACAATATGATCGCTGGCGGATCTTGGGCCGTACACCCCAGGATCGCAGGCCGGAAAAGCTTGTAAGACTTGATTACTTTGGTATCTCCCCTCCGAAAATGCTGACGGTCTATAAGTTTCAACTGGTGGCAGCTCAATTATCTGTATCCGTGGGTCGCGTTCCGTTTGGTAAGAGACCTATAACCGATCTCTGGCAAAGAGCTGGTTCTCGACTGGCGAAACCATTGTCGTCCTGGTGTTCTTGCGGTATAAAAGCGTGCTATGAGGGTTGAGACTGCAATATCGCGCTAAACACTGAAGTAGGGCTACTATTGTTCAAAGGAGAACTTCAAGCCTAGAACAGAATGCGATTCTATTCCCACCGCTCACTCTTGCAACGTTTTTGAGTTCGTGCTAATGACGTATAGTGCGGGTAAATGTAGGTGTCGCTGCAAATCATGACGATCAATGGAACTTGATGCTCGGGAAAAGCATGTGAAATTCTTGTCGCCTACGACTCGAACATTACTTAAGGGCTGAAGGTGTCTTCACTCATGGCCAGAAGTTCAACGTGATGGACCCAGGTGACAAGTCCCGCCTCAACATCAAAGACGGTCGTCAAGCGCTTACAGGTGTGACTGGGTCTAGGATATCTCACTCAACCCATTTTCGAAGATGAAGAACCAAGACAGTCGACGAATTGCTAGCTACACTAATAACACATCTCAATACCTAACAATGTCTCGTTTCAGCTCCCATTCCCCGCTCGACGGCTTTCCGCCAAATATCATATGCTCAATCAGGAGCTGCGTGTTCTTATCACAAGAATCCACGCAACACTAATAACGGGACTCTTTATACTCGAGCCTTTCGAATCTAATCCCTGCCATGCCTATGTCGCACGTGACGTCTTGAGCTGACCTATGGAGAATTGAGTGGGGGAAACACCCAGGAAGTATTAAGGGTAACGGAAGCCGATGCACTACGTGTCGTGCCTCGCTCGATGCATGTACCGCAGGCGAGGCCTAGCTAGCTCCAGATTCGATATGCAATAGATTTCGCGCAGATCATGAAGATACGAGGCGACGGGCGTGGGACTACATGCCAGATTTGTCGCAGGAAGCTTTGGAGCAGAGAACGCAGTCCGATGGACTATTATCGACGCCAGAATTGAGGATAATCGTGTCAAGTCCAAATGGGGCCCTTGTCTTCGCTGCTTATAATTCCACTTTACTGTAAGCGAGATGAAGTCTTAATACTTAATTTTATACCCCTTTTTTTAAAGCTAGATAATTATAATTCTTGCTATTGCTTATAAATATAAGCCTCAATTTCTCTCTGTGCATGCTATGCACCCTCGCTCCATTGTTCATAGCTCTGTACTACGGCTCCGCATAAGATAAATTCTCATTGCCTTCGACTAGATTCATTGAATTGTATATCTATTTATCTCTACAATCATTCGCCACTTGTCCATACCCACAGCCGCACCTCTTCCTCTCCTCCACCCGCCTCGCATAATTGCCCCTCCCACCTTTAGCTTATACCAACCCAGCTAACCCTCACCTTTAAACCTTTTCTGATATGCAACTTATAATCATTGGCTAGACTACACTTAATTTTGTGCTCATTAGACAAAGGTCAAGCTAGAGGAGGGCCTAGAAAATAGGGAATGGGCAGAGCAGGATAAACTGTGGGGACAGGTATCTGTATCACTAGGCTAGTAGAAGTAATACTCAATGTGGGGTTTGAAAGACAGTCGATCCAGGGACACGGACGAGGACGAATACTTACACAGTAATCTGAAAATGTGGGTTTCGAGTACTCCAAGGACATGGGCGTGATGAAATAGGGATCAGCAAGAGGCGCATGAGGGCCGATAGTGCGGTAATGGAGCGTCCGATGTGTGGCCACAACTTCTGACCCTCTTGAGTATGTATGGCAAGACTTTATGCGTTGCGTAGTAGCCGCTAATGACCACAGCGGCCGACTCTCTGAATCAGGGAGCGAGTCGGGAGCTGGTGGGAGCGAGGAGTCAACATTATCCCAGAAAGCCGCTGGTGCTATGGTTGCAATGGTTAGTAAACCTCGTTTGGTTTGGGATTCTGCGAATTCGTGTCTAGGGAATCAACAATTGAACATGGCGTTGAAAGGGTCAATTGGGGTTGCAAAGATTGGCCCAGTGAGTCTATCTGCTATGTCTGCTTTGCAAGTTCCCTTTGTCACACCTCTTTCATCTCTTCTATCTGCATTGCCTAAGATGGCTTTTAAAGTGATATTTTGAAGGACTTATTACGGTTAATAGTGGGAAGACAAGAGAGGTAAATTGATCGCTCTTAGGTGGTTGCGCTGCTTAATCTGTTAGCTCCCCTCATTATCAATCCCTTACCTCCTTTTAATAATGAGCGATGTTCAAGTCGGCCTCCATCAATTGATCGTAGTCATCTTCGCCATCGTATACTGTATTGCATTGAATCTAAGTAGGGAACTGCTGTTTCCGAAAACACGCACTGCTAGGCAAGCCAAGTTGTGCAGCCTAGACGGCATGGAGGAGTAAGATTCGGTCTCTATCAGAATGTTGACTCACACCTTTCTCTAGGCCGTTCATGATCATGCTCGTGATACTTTCATAAGCATCAATGCGACATAGCCTTGGCCAAATGTAGCTCAACAGCAGCAGAGGATTGTTGCCGCTATATTCTACTTTGAAAAGACTGATTCTAGCGGCAGCCTTATGACTGTCCTAAGGAGCGTAAGAGAAAAGAATTGTTCCGTATTTGGCCCTAGGGCGAAGAACGCTCTCCCTTATCTCGCGTTATTGCTAAGGCATTAGCAAGCTCATTCGTTCACTTAGCTAAAGATAATATATATAACAGTAGGCACTTCTTAAGGCTTTAAAGATGTTCACTACAACAAAAATAGACTCCTTGTGCAGCTGCGAACACTCTAAGCGACGTCGCGTCTATGCATATCAACCTTTGCCTGACACAAGGTTGATAAGCGGCCCATTCTTGGGGCTAACCTTACCTATAAGACATTTCGTTGGTGTGCTCGCATTCGCGTGTTAAGCCAAACCCGGTTATCACTATTCGCTGTCCCTATCCTCTCCTCTAGAAGAGCCGCAGTAAGATATTGATAGACAAGACATGCGTGATGTCCCGCTCTTCACGCCGACTGCTAAGAGCTACTACATGGTATATGAACTCGAAGTCCTTCTAGATGCTAGAGTCTGCTTGAATCTTGTCATGTTAGTAAAACATTGGATTTCACCCGCCTAGGGTCCACTTCCCTGCATTGTTATACTAACACTGCCCTTCTTACATATCTCTTTTGCTCTTACATTAGCCTTTTTGCGGTCATGATCAATCTCAAGGTCCTTACATATACTAGCTTAATCTTTAGCATTTATGTTCCAAACGTCCTCACTAGCGCAGCATTTCCGAAGTTTGTTAGGCAAGATAGGGATAGCTCAGTCGACAGTCCATGTCCACGTTCGATCACTTTCAATGAAACTATGTGTGTCCGTTGTCATGACCGCCATATTTACGATAAGAAAACGTGCATCATAACGGAGCTCAACCAGCAAAAGCCAGACGGCAAGCGACATTATCAACCTGCTCCACATAAGGGAGAGATAGGTGACGTAGGATCAGGGTACACTTTTCCTGCAGGGTGGTACGGAACTACCTTAGCCGCAGTTGACTTCACGCTCAACGAGACTTTGGTCGAACTCGTCGTAAATATAGATAGCTGTCGAAGAGTCTCCGGAGACACAAAGATAGGACCCTTGGACGTGGGATCTCAGCACTTCGACAACATTGAACTCCAGAGCATCCTGAATCAGTTATTTTCAATTCCTTCCGAATCAGCTATTGAGCTCGTGGTAAGCAACGCGCGCCAAGGGTTGCAGGATGTGAAGAAGTTTCTCAACAGTATTGATCCCTTGCAAGGCAAACAAGGTCCTAGTCTTGCAGATGACCTTGAAGCAGGTCTAAGGAATGCAAGTATCCAGCTTATTAGCAATATCGTGTTCAAGGTGGGGGGTGGCATAGGGACCTGGACTGGTGCCTATCTTGCCGCTCAAGCATTCCTAGCTCCTCGACCCCAAGGTCCTCTAGCACCTCCAAGCAACGCTATGGATATTGGGCTTACTGCAACAACCGCCCTGCTTACATATCAAGCAATCATCCCGTTCTTAGAGGATTGGAGCGAAGAGCCTCTGCTAGTGACCTCGATCGATCGGATCTTATGGGTGCTCCAAACTGTGGTGAGTAGGCTTAGGCAGCTTATCCTGAGCCTTCCTGCAGTGCAAATCTGGACTTTTGATCGCGCCACTCTTGTCTTGGAGTTCATAGCCCGGGCGAGAGCAGGAAGATTTGTAAGAGCTTCTGCAATTGGTCTAGGGGGACTCACAGAGGCTCAATCAGAGCTTCCTGAGCCTTGTCCTTTATGAAGACAATCAGTTTATTCAGCTAGACTTACCTTTTTCTATGATGGGATAGAGTATCTTAGGGAATTTTGTTAAGAAATTTTCAGAAAACTTTTTAATAAAGCAAGCTAAGGGGTCGACGCAAGTCTTGTTAGTACTCGTATATGTAAGAACTTGCACGCCATAAGCTGGTTTTGGAAAGAGAACCATAGAACTAGCCTGGTATCCGAATCTGTTCAAGCGACTACGATAACTTCGAATGGCGCCTGGCTTAGGCTTTTACATTTCCTTCAAACGGGCGCCCGCGGGTTCACCATCTACCGCACCTTCCAAATCCACTCCCTCCACATTCTACTCCCTTGTCCCTTCTTCCTCGGACTCACCTTCTTCTGGAAAGAGCGGATTTGTAGTCGGTGGTCTGAATACTGGGGGTGTAGGAGGTCGCTGAAAGGAATAAGGCTTGGTATACTTGTACGTTGTAGGGTCAAGCTTGTGGTAAGTGTAGCCTCCACCATAGGCATAACTAGTGAGTGCAACTATGTCAGCTTTTACTATTAAGACTACCAGTGCCGTGGACCTACCTGAAGCCTCCACCACCTCCAGTCATCACTCCCCGGCGCTTTCTTTCACTTCCTTGGCGCTCTGCTTCGCTTTCTTGACGCTTTCTTTCACCTTCTTGGTGCTTTCGTTCACTTTCTTGGCGCCTTGCTTCTGCCTCGTCATTGAGGTAACTGACCAGCGCCGGCGGGCGCCAATCGTCATTGTCAAGTGTCCCTTCTACTCTCTTGTCCGCCCATTGATACCACTCGTCATCTGGGCTGTGAGCTCGAGAACTGTTAATCAGGGCCAGCGGAGTCTTGCCACTTTTGTTTTTGATCTTTGGGTCAGCACAATGCCGCAGGAGGAGCTCCAAAGCTATAGCACTTTTCGACTTCTGGACCACGCTGTGCAAGGGAGTTTCGCCATTAATGGCATGCTGATCATTTGCGTTTGCACCATTTGTGAGCAAGAGGTGGACTATGCGAATGTTCTCAGCTTCATCGTCCGTCAATGAAAGTATGGAAAACGCAAGTAGGATGGGAGTAAAGCCTGTACTATTATGCCCGTGGATTAAGTCTTCCGTATTGTCGTAGGCAGTCTTAAGCTTCTCTAGGATGGCATCCAGAACGTAGGCGTCCTTTCGTTGGATGGCTAGGTGCAGAGGATTGTCTCCTGTCCTCGGTAGAGTGACATTGAGCTTAGTAGAGAAGTTTGGTGCCAGCAAAAGGTACAATGCGTCTCGTTTCTCTTGCGGTAATTTCTCGTTTCCTATCAGTAGCTTTAAAAGTGGGACATCACCAAATGGATCCTTTGCATTTGGATTAGCACGCGCGGCGAGCAGGATGTAGATGACTGTCGAGTATCCAGACCAGACGCTTTGCTCGAGTGCATAATGGAGAGGCCTTTTACCGCGTTTCCCACTCTTCGTTGTTAATGGTTTGAAGGCATTGACGTCAACACCGTGCTCTACGAGTTCACGCAAACACTTTGTGTGCCGATCAGATGCGCCGACGATTGTGTTATAGATCGGTTGCCAGCGCGGTTTCTCTTCTGTTCCTGGATTGCATCCACCTTTCAGCAATTGCCTGACAGCACCTACCTTGCCACTGGCTGTGAAGATCGGAAGATAGCCGTAGGATTTGTCGTTCCAGCGCATTCCGATTCTCCCGTGCGCGAGCAAAGATCGTGACTTTTCGGACATGATTGATGTTGGTGCCTCCGCGGTCTTGTTCTTCAAAATTCGGTCCATGATAATAGTTGCAGATTCAAAACCTTGCCTCTTCTTGCCTTCGTTTGCTTGGTCGATAAAGGTAGCTAGGCTTGGGCCGGCGTCCGCTTGGGAGATCAAGCTTGTTGTGGGCTTTGGCGCATCCAGCTTAGTGATTGGTGTGCGAAGATGTTTAAAATGGTCTTTGAGCACATTTGACTCGGCGGAACCCTGTATAGTTGCATTATCCTGACTTTCGGAAGTAATGCTAGGCACTGCAGAAGTTGGAGTTAGGGTTTTAGAAGCCTGCGCGAAACCTCGTAGTTCCTCAAAGACTTTCTGCCGATCGGTCATTTCCGTCGTCGAGGATGGAATGACTGCAGTCGTACCAATGTGCAACAGACCTTTTGAGCTCTCTGCAAATGCCCGGAGCTCTTCGAAGACTCCCTGACGGTCACCACTAGACATAGCGCTGGCCAAAGCTAGATTAGTATCACTGCCGGACTTGATGAGCCTGGGGAAAGTTTTCTCATTTAGATCTTGATCAGATGACATTTCGTCATGCTCATCATCAGAAACCTGTAGCTCGCTATCGCTATAAGCATGCCTTAGATGTGGAGCGAGGAAGTTGGGCTGCTCGAATTGTTGTTCAGGCCGAGAGAGTGGGGTCAGATGTCCATTCTCTCCTTCTAACATGGTTGGGTCACCGACGAAGTCGCCAGCATCATCTGGTAGAGACGATAGGAAATGACCGATCCGCTGCGATTCAATCGTGATATTTCGCCTCTTAGGCGTAAGAAGGGCTCTTTTCCTTCGGGGTGCTTTGAGCCTCTCGTGCGATTTTCCTAACCATTGGACAATCGAGTCCATGCCAGGAAATCCCATTCTCTGATTTCGACTTTGTTCTTTGTTCCCTTGGGTTGTGGTATGGCCTGCACTTGTCTTCATCGCCTGGACTCTTTGCTTGCTGGATGACTCCTCATGGGTTGTACGTGAGCCTTTGGGCTGCGTCTTTCGAAGGAGCTGGGTCTTCGGCTGAGTCTTCGTCTGAGACTTCGTCTTAACAGTCGGTCGCTGGGTAGCTGGGATGATAGGTATGATCACCGGCTCCATTGTATTAGTACCTTCATCTGCAAAGTAGACATTAGTCAGAGTAGAGGCTGACGCGGGATGGTTGGCCTCTGGCACCGGCGTTCGTGCATAACTAAAAGGATCTGTGGATGGAAAGGCTCCAGGGGGATCGTAAGTATTTGAGGGACGTAAGGTTTCATCTCCTCCTGCCAAATCTGAGAAGGTGTCTTGCTCGCTAGCGAAAGAGCTCTCTGACTCCGACACCGAGTCCAGATCGCAACAGCAACGACCACAATAGAGACCGGGTTGGAAATCATCTATCTCTTCACAAAGTTCGATGGCCGATGGTCGATTCGACCCTTGAAGACTCAACATCTTCTGGATCCATAGCAACGGCGCAACATCTGACAATTCGCCGCATTTACCTACTTGTAAATGGTCAAGCCACTCGAGAGTGCTTCTTGGGTTCTGATAGGGGTGGACGTCCCGTCCTCCTTGGGGATCGTTTGCACGAAGAAAGTCGTTCAAATCCCCCAAGCTCTTTCCATGCAGAACAGTAGCCATCTCAAGAAACACCACCCCCAAGGACCAGATATCAGAGCTGCGATGAAATGAACCCTCTCGAGCCACTTCCGGGCTTTGATATCTTGGCGTTCTATCATCGTCGCAATTACTGGCGGTCATACTTTGACCAGTTGTTGACCAGTCATACGCCGTTCCGAAATCGGTCAGGATCATGTGGTCACCCTTTAGGAGTATGTTCTCGGGTTTTAGATCCTTATGGATCATTGCGATAGGCGGCTCGTGGAGGAAGCTAAGGGTGTGTGCTAAACATCCGAAATAGGTTCGAAATTTACTCAGCGCTTGTTCTGATGCCAGGGTGTTCCTTTTTGCCATGAATTCCTTCAAGTTACAATCTGCTACGGGATCAAGAAGCATGGCGTAATACCGTTTGTCCGTGTAAGTTCCAACAACTTTTATCAAGTGATCGTGGCTGCATACTTTCGACAGAGCTTTGATCTCATTCTCGAAGGTCTTCGCTGACTTCGTGTCGTGACCAAACTTTTTTCGTTTGTTGATTCTCTTTCTAGCGTATGTGCGACCGCTCATACTCACGGTCACTTCATCTACAACTGTGTTGCTAGAAGCTCATTAGTCAAAGGCCAATCGAATGCTGTCTGATCAAATGCAGCTCCGAGCTCAAAGTCTGTACGATCAGGTGACACCTACCCTTGCCCTCCAAAGCCCAGTTTGGGTCGTCGAGAATCAAACAGCATGTCACCATTTTCAATTGTGATGTGTGCCCCTTCCTCCAGATCGCAAATATCGGAGTGAATAACCCCTTGCCAGCGCTCAAAAGTCTCGAATTCATGAATGTTTAGTATGTTCGGTATCTGACCCCGGCTCTTAAACGGCAGCGAGGTATCGTTCAGTCCCTGAGTAATGAAAGCGTTCATTGCATCCAATCTATTCATTTGTTTTAGAATAAACCATAGCCGAGGTCGAGATGCCCACTCGGGGTTCCGTATTTGATCCATCAGCGCTACTGACAGCTGCGTAAATGCAGCTTGTGGTATCTGCTCCTTGCTGTTGATCTTGGCACTGATGGTCTCGCAGGCACTGCATAGATCGACCCTGTCTCCTGAAGAGCCATACAATTGACTTGCGAAGTTTGGAATACCAGCCATTCTTACGTGATGCGGTAACGTCTAGGAAGAAGAAAAATTGCCGGTCGACAAGAGAATCAAGTTCAGCTTCCTCAGCCTTGTCTGCTTCGGCGGCAACGACCCCACGGCCAGAAGGCGGGGCGATCACCATGGTTATTGGTCAATCCGCAAGTCTTGCATAGGTGTAGCCTCTTGAGGTTAAGCATCCTGCAAGCGAGGGGTGCGCTGTTCATCCAGCTCTTATCCAATACAATCATCTCTGATCCCACCCAAGTACGCGAGTACGCCCTACTCTCTAAGGATCGTGAGGAATCATTCGCATTGCAGCTCGTGTGCAGAAGATGAATTGTATGATGATTGGAGTGACGTCCTGCGCGATACTTTCAGTACTCACTAGAGCTAGCGTCGAATAAATTACCGGCGTCGGAAAAACCCAATGGCGGGGTTTGGGGAAGTCGCCGCGGCCGCCAGCTTCGTCTCTCTCGCCGTACAACTCTTCGATGGATGCGTCAAGGGCTTTGTGGTTCTCCAAGATGCTCAAGGTCTTGGTAGTCGAGCGGATTTTCTCGCTTGCCAGCTCGAATGGGAGAATTACAATCTGAGTGCCTGGGCTCACGCTGTCGGCCTCTTCGACGAACCCCCCAACTGAAGACTTCCAACCCCCTCAACGTCCACAAAACCCTCAAGAACCTTGAGCAACTGCTCACAGACACTCGTAAAATCAAGGAACAGTATGGTCTCGATGCTGAGATCACAGAAGAGGAGGTGGGAGACCTACAGACCACAAGGAGCGTGTTCGGCAACCTCTTTGGCAGGAAGAAGCAGCGATTCGTCAACGATAGCGCGAAAGTCCATTCGAGACGGAACAATGCGTGGAAGAAATTGAAGTGGGCAACGTCTGATGCCGCAAAATTTAGACTCCTGCTGCAAGACATCCATGATCTGAATGCCAGACTCCAGTCACTGCTCCACCCGGCGGACCAGTACGCGAATGCGCGAGACCTGAATGAATCCATGAGAAGAGTGGTCGCAAACAGTCCAACTAAGGGGCTCCTAGATGCTATGAGCGGTCCTCTGGCGTCAGTCGATCCAGCCATCGCCGCTTCGGCACGGCTACGACAGCAAGGATTCATGCTGGACTTGATACCCTCCGTTCAGCAAGAGCAAGCTAAAAGTGAAGATCATACACGCCGGAGCATCGCCCCAGCATCTCCTAAGCCCAATAAGTCGTCTACATTTAAGGGAGGCAGGGACCTGCGTGTGCCACTGAATGGGCTCTCAAAATGCCGTGGACATGCAAGACCTGACGTTTTTCGGGAAGAGGCTATCTACAAAGAGGAAAAGATTCTCATTGAGTGGAAAGACATCAGCAGTGCCCTCGAAACCCGGCTGAAATATCGCGTTGCCAACGTCGCAAGTTTTTTGGCCGTAATGGCAGATCCATCCTTTCATTCGCTACAATGCCTTGGATACGTCAAAGGCTCTTCAGTACGCTATGGATACCTGTTCAAGTATCCCACCACCAAGACCTCCACGACGAAACCTTCCACGCTCTTCGAATTGCTATCAAGTACCTCGCTAAAGCCCAGCCTCAATCAAAGATTATCGGTCGCGCAAGCGCTGGCTGAGACTACATTGCAATTACATACCGCAGGCTGGCTGCACAAGTCCATCAACCCAGAGAATGTTTTAGTATGTAAGGAAGAGAAGGATACATGGGATGATCATAGAGCCGCTTGGCAGGTATACCTTGGAGGGTACGATTTCGCAAGAGCAGACAACCCTCTGGAAGCTACGGAGGATCCTACGTCACGTGATTTCTCGGAGCTATACCGCCATCCATCATCGCTTGGTCAAGAAAGGACCCCTTACAACAAAGAATTCGATCTCTACAGCGTAGGCTGTCTCCTCATCGAACTTGCGCTCTGGGACACTTTGCCCAACCTTCTTTGGCGTCGAATGATCGACCTGGAACTCATTGTTGGCCAGACGGACGCCCAAAAGGCAACACAAGATCCCTCAAAACTACTTCACCAGCCTCAAGTACACAAGAAGGAACTTCTTTTGCAGCATCGGGAAGACTTGCTCTCAGAAGGGGGCCCCTCCAGCATACACGCCGAGCTCGAACATCGCCTCGGTTTGACATACTGCAAACTTGTGGAGGACTGCTTGAACAGTGCAGATGATTTATCTAGGGAGGATGAATGCTCTCACAACTCAATTGAGACTCAGCAGCAAGTTGCTTCCGTTCTGAAGAGCCTCACTGACACGCTTTAATCTTTTGCCTACACAGTGCGAGATGGATTGCCGCATCCAGCGGAATTGGAATCGTGGCTACCATCCAGGTCATGACTCAAATTGAATGATCTCCGTTGAATATTCCTTGAATGAGCAGCGCCATTAAGATCAATGGCTCTGCCGTCTCACGGCATTCACCCCCCTACAACCCTTCAAAGGTAGACAAACAGTATTGACCAGCGATACATTGCGTTTCGTAAAGTATCAACATCTGCTCACCCATTCAGTCACTCCAGACATCTCTCGTCGCGATGTATCTGCTCATTGACGGATATTATGACCGGCCTTCCCACCCCTTGGCCACTGTTCAAAGCAAGAGGAAGGGAAAACAAACGGAACAGAGGAACTTTACGCCCGTGATTCCGGATGAAATTGAGGATCAGATCTTTACGTACGGGACTAAAAGCTACAGCCGCGAAAGAAACCCGACAACCTCAGAGCCAGAAGATCCAGTCCAGGACCTTTTTCTCCCCGATGAGAAGTGCCCTTCATCCGGACGCTCTCTACAACGGCGTTCTTCTCCGCCAGACAAATTACCGCAACGAGATCGTGACCTTTCTCTGGCATCCTCTCTTGAAGATCCCAGTCTTTCTTCGCTGTCTTCACAAGGAGCCTACTCTTACGACGGGAACCCAATCTCGAGGGGCTCTTCTGAAGCGAGTCTCACCTCTGGATTTGAATCTTGAGATGGCCATTCTTCTGAATCATCGCAAAGCCGCCATGCCCCCTTGTCTTCTCGTCTCGTCAAAGCCGTCATTCCTCTGGGGCCTCTTTTCATCGCCGCCATCCCTCTGTGGCCTCTTCTCCAGGCGGTCGCTCCTCCAACTCTTCTCGAGGTGAACCCTCTTCTCGAAACAGATCGCCCTTACAAGAGCAAGAAGCTAGACAGGGAAGAGCCTTGCTTGGCCAACACATTTATAATATTCTGAAAGCAGAGTCACTGGAGTCATCCGTTGCCAACCTCGCTCCTGCCACACCCCCAACTAATACGATTTAGCTTCCCCATTTAAATCACAATAGGCATTGTCCTCACCTGCCTCCTGTTCTCGATACTTTGGGATTCACTAGCACGATCTTCACCCATTGGTCCCTCTCATACAGTGACAAACCTTTCCCCTCTTCCTCCGCGCTCCCACCCATGAACCTCTCGACACACGAGGAGATATCTGGCTTTCGTCTTTCCTCCGAAAGCACCCTCTCCACAGAGCCCTCAGACGCCTCCCTCCCATTCGATGAGATTACTGCAGACCTATGCCTTCTCATCAACTACACCCATCAAATGTTCCAACCCTCGCACCTCCCCGCAAACAACCCTCAGGTCAAGTCTCTCCTTCCTGAAATCCCCGACACCACCTCTTCCCTCAAAATCTCCCTCTTCACCGTCGATATACACTGCACCGCCCTCTACTCATCCTTTGATATTTCTCTCGCCAATGCTACCGCCAACGTCAAGACTACAATATACTGAGCTGCAATTCCGACGCTTCTGCTCCTGGTGTGTACAGCATTCAAATTGAAGGCAAGAGAGCGCTATTGCGGTGAAAGAGCTCGAGAACCTACATGCGGCAGGGCTTGGGTCGTCGCTGAGGGTGAGAGACTCAGGAGTTTGTGTGAGAAAGTGGAGTGTAAACATCACTTGTAGCGGCGTTTTAGGCGGGGCTATGTAATCGGAGGAATGTGGAGAGTAGAGGGGCGAAGATGATGAAGTGTACAAAGGTTAGAGGTATCTAGTGGGAGGAAATTGTGGAGGCTTGTGCGGGAGACGGGATGTCGAAGTCAGAGGAGAGCGATGTGGTGATAGTTCGGGGGAGGAGTAGAGGGGGTGTTGGCAAACAGGTGCTGGGGACGAGAATTGTTACGGGCAGGGCAGCTTCGACGAGCGACGTTGAGCCATAGATCAAAGTGGTAACGGGAAGTTCAACTCGAAATCAAATCCCAAGCGTTGACCCAATAGTGTCAGAATATGTAAGGAGAGGGATGAATGCTTGTAAGTGGGGTGCAACACTCGTCTATAATATGATAGGAGATGCTTTTGTCATTGCTCCCCTCGTTGCTACTTCCCCTATCCCCCTCTCCTCCAAAGTATTTTATCTTCCTTCACGAGAACCGTCCAGGAGGTAGCACCGAATCAGCTGCGGAGAGGCCTGGATGATGGGCAGCACTAGCAGCATATCTATCTCATTGAAGTCTTGATTCTCCTTCAGAACCTATTTCTTATATATAGTAATCCGTATGACTGCGTCGTTATGTTCGTCGGAAGTGACGTTTTGGGCTGCCTCTCTAGTATGTATGTTAGTCGGACATCGGACAGGGAAGGTATTGTATGTTGTTTTCAATGAGTGTTTGGAGATATGATGGGATCGCTTCCATAAGTCTAACGGTCTTGGGCATGGAATTTAGCTATTTTGTGATATATGGTATAGCATGAAGTATTGACTCCGACCTATATCCCTATGCATCAGGGTCGCGCATCTTTCAAAAGTCCTCTACACTCGTTGCGTGGAACTTACTTCGGGCGTTTGCCGCCCACAGCCTGCAACGACTTGATATGGTACAAAGCTTCGAAGTCCGCAATAAAGGCATTAATCAGCTGCGTCTGCTCCGTCTTCGCTATACGTTGAAAGTCTACTAAGTAGACTAATGAAATAGGCGGCTGGAGCATTGGAGAAGTACATTCTGGACGTCCAAAAACATATACATTATCGAGTCAGGAGCCGAGCCAGTCATCTACTATGTTCCCTCCGGACTAATAATTAATTCACACATACTTAGATAGGTATACTATCTGAATAGAGGATCAGCACGTCTGTATAAGACCTCAAGCTCAAGCTTTTGAAGGGGTCACGTGTAGATTGTAAACAGAATTTTGTTTTTCTGTGCTAGAGATTGTGGATTTCACTTGGCGCTACCTGGAACCTATCATGGACGCCTTGCAGACTAAGACTGCAGATCGTGCGGAGCGGAATATTTTCATTCAGGGCTCTGTGTGGAATAAGACGGATTCTAGGAGATTGACGGTGTCTGCGAACGTGAGCTTGCTAGAAGAGGATGTGGAGATTATTAGTTTGGGGACGGATGACAGTTGGAGCAAGGTCTATCGTCTTGTGTTTGTTAGCCGCTGAGGATATGCATTGTTTGAGATTCTATGACCTTCTTTCCTGCGATCGTGGGCTAGGAAATGTGGACTAAGAGAAGTGTTGCAAAGCATTGAAGGACTTGATCATTTTATCCCCGTCTAGCCACCGTGATGAACCATGTATGCCCCAATAGAGTTCCACGGTTCCTTGCATGTCCGCACGCCTTTTTCTATTTGATGGTGATCTCAACCGTGGGGAACGGTAGAGGCTCTTCGTGCAGTCTCTCCAGCCAAGACGTATCCTTATGATCGTAGTCTGGCTCTGCTTTGCGTCTTGCTTCGACCAAAGCTTGTCCATCCATGAAACCATGCATATAACATTCGCCGACGAACTCGTATTTGTGATCGCTTGGATCCGGCCTTAGCAAGATGGGTACGTCTCCGCCCATGAGGATGGCTATTGTATCTCCAACGCGCGCAGCTTTTGGCACAACACCGAACCGACCGTGTTGAGTGAATGCGATGCGTCTTTGCGACATGTTTGTCTCCGATGCCTCCCCTATAAGTTTCTTAAACTCATCGTAGCTGGTGGTCTCTGTATCACGTTCAATGGACGATGAACGCCAACGGTGGCTGGTGGCCGTACCAAGGCCTTGCGTAGGATCTATGTCCAAGAGGCATAGTGTTATACAACAGTTGTTGAAATTTTGTCCTGTTGGTTCATAGAAGCAGGAGGTTGAGTCAGGTGTTGGGAGCTCTTCTTGCTCGGGGCTGTTGAGTGTCTGATCACCGTGCAGATTGAACGCTTGTCTTTGCATCCACTTGAAAGCTGATGCCTTGGGACTACTCTCGGTTACTGCGAGAATAGAATCCCAAAGTAAACCCTGGAGACTAAGATCCCTACATGACGAAGACAAACGCCCGTCGACATTGGAGGAGGCAGTGCAGCGATAGGGTCTCCCGGTGAGATTTGTGAGGCGCATGGCTCCTCCAAGGTTATGATCTGGCCCTAGACGCCAGTCGGGCACCCACGAAGGCAACGTGGTAAGATCTGTCTTAGGCAAGGCTTGATTCAAGATCTCGAGACTCTCTGATTGATTTATGTATTGAGCTGTTGACTCTGCAAACATCTCCGGCCAAGGCTGCGCGTAATTGATCTTGATGGATGGGCCATCCTGAACGATATTGAGGATACTGTAGATTAAGTCATGCGGGTCCTTGCAGCCTGCACCTCGCCGTACTGACATAGTTGATAGGAATCTCAAGGTCCTCCGAGTGTCTGATGTGATCGAGTCTTTCACAGAGTGTTGGACAAACGAGTAAAGTGCGAGCGGATTTCGACGAACGAGGAATCTGAAGTCTTGTGTAGAGGCAGCCAGCTGGTCCAATGTTACCCTGCTATGATAGAGCATTTCTACTTCCATACGGTATAAGCCAAGATAGAAATTGCTGTTGCGAGCTACCTGTATCTCTTGAAATGTCCAGGCTCTTCCGAACCATGGGCTCTCGAACAAATTATTTAGAGCTGCCACATCGTCGCGCGATGGTAGACGGAATTCCCGCTCTACCTGGTCCAGATATCGAGACTTATCCTTGAAAGTCATATTGTGATATTTATGAAGTTCTTCACGACCCGAGAAATTCTTGTTGAGGATTGTCATACAGCGGAAAGCTTTGGATGCGTCGTCACTATCCTGCCTCTCCTCGCCTAGCCATATGAGCACACAGGACGCTCTCCTGAAAATGTTGCTCATCATGGGCACTTGCGCGCTCTTCTCCAACAAATCTGCTTGGTTGATGCAGATGCTGTCGACCCACAAAGTACGAGCGTAACCTTCTTGACGAAAGCGACGTAAAGCGCCCGCAAGACTTTGCGTCATCTTCATCTCACGACCATCGCAGTTTAAGCTGACTGGATTGTCCTCGCTACCCCATACGTAGCTGACAGCTTCATATTCGAGGCTTTCGTCAATGTTGGCATCTTGCAAGCAGCCTTGTAGGGGGCGTCATTCGTCTTGCTAGGCAATAGTTCGAAGAGCCTTATGGATCTTGGTCCTGGAAGGGGCTTGTATGAGTAATTCTGCACCATTATCCGTACTGAACATAGAGTGTTAGCAGCAAAGCACAGAGGGATAGCGTTGATGCCTAAAGCAATACTACACGTACAGCAATATTCCGGTATGAGTCGTCAAAGAGTAAATGAATGCCCACACGTCACACAACCTTTGTGGAGTTAGCGTCTTCATGCACTATTAATTGTAAAGATAAGACTCACCTAGGATTCTGCCTGTCGCTGTCGTTCAATTCTCCGACTATTAAAGCTTGCAAGCTCAAATACTTCACAGGATTATGTCTCCCGAGACTTGAGTTTGAAGCTTCCTTGCTCTTGCTTTAATGAGAGGAGCGTTCATAAGCTGAAGCTTTTATATATATGTCGATGTCACTTGTGATTCTCTGTAAGCACATTGCGAACGACAGTGCGAAGATCCGCGATATAGAGGCTTCAAGATAGGAACATTGAATAACATACTTTGTCCAAAGTCCTAGATATAGCCTGTCAACTAATCGTCAAAGGGTGATTCATTTCGTTGGAAGAGTCTCCGGTATATCAAACATCAATCGCTTCGAGATTATCAGTACTGCAAGCCGACCTCGCGGATGTCATAACTCCCCCGACACCTTCAAAGCTTTACTACAATAAAGTCTTCCAAGAAGAGGTCTGGAGTAGAAACTGTCAGTACAAAAAGCATGTATATTGTCAATACAGATGGAATTATATAATACTTCAATTCTCGAGGTATTCGAAGAGTTGTAATAACCCCGAGCCACCCAAGTATATACGTCAAAGGCTATACCGCAATGGGACTGGTCTTTTTAGACTTTCCCCAGAGCAGTAAAGCGTGGATTGACAGCTGTTCTAACTATATCCAGATTAGCGTAGGATTAGCCAATTCTATGCAATTTCCTTCCCGCCTGCTGGTCTTCTCTTCATGCGAATCGTTCCTTATGTAGCGAAAAACTTAGCTTGGGTTGTGGCAGTTTCCTTGGTATGGTCAATAGTCAGGTCATTGACGATGAAGCCCCTGCGCTGCGGAGAGAGAATCGTGGGCGCTTTGAGACAAGGTACCTACCTGTACTTTCATTGATATATGCGGTTCTTGGCGCGATCGCGATCTTGACTGGATTCATATCGGCCCTTGTCTGGGTGCCTCAATTTTACGCATGGTATAATCATTCTCCTCTTAGCTTAGGGTCTTCATGGAAAGAAAGCCATCCAAGCATCTACGATTCTCTGAGCCTTGGCCGAAGCAATGGCGAGCGACAGATACGCCTGCTACGTCTTGATTCTCATCACAGTCCAATCAGTGCCCAGTATGAGTGTGCAATGGAGGTTGTCTCCTTAGAAGACAACCCAAGGTATCTAGCTCTATCACACACGTGGGGTAATGGTCAATTCTCAGAGTCAGTAGTCATCAATGGCCTTGAAGTACCAGTGACATTTAATGTTAAGACGGCTTTGATGCAGTGGAGCTTACACTACCGACTCAGCAATGTAACCCACTATGCGGAAGCTCACAAGCTGCCCCAAAACATGCCCTATTACCTCTGGGTTGACGCAATATGTATCAATCAACACGACGAGATGGAAAAAGCGTCGCAGATCCAGTTGATGAGTGAAATCTACACTCGAGCGAATGCGACCGTTGCATGGCTTGGACCAACCAGCTCGCAAGGAGATGCAGCTTTTACATCCTTCGCGAAAATCAGACATTTTGGGGCTGCATTAGCCGAGTACACTCGCCCGTCTATAGATCCGCTGAATTTGTTTGCTCTACGAAGAGATCTTGCGCCACAATGCATCCGATACTCTAACTACGCAGACAACGTCTCGGTAGGGTTAAATACCACCTTTGACTTACCGATCCAGCCATTGACCGCTATCTTCGAGGACAGTTGGTGGCGACGCGTATGGACATGGCAGGAAGCCGCCCTGGCCAATCGGATACTAATATCTTGGGGTCTAAATACAATCGATTATCAGGATTTAGAACATCTTGCCTTGGTGCTCGTAGTTAAATGGAAAGACATCAAAGACGCGGGGAAAGATAGTGAGCTTGAATCTAGTATGTGGTATCTTTTTGGCAAAATATCAAACTTTTCTAGCGAACTAGAGTGGAGGCGGAGGAATACGGGATTACACAGTTTGCTGGAATCTCTAAGCAAAATCAGAAGAACCAGAAGACAGTGCTCAGATCCTCGAGATCATTTCTTCGGCTTGCTCGGCATGGTTGATCCCGATAGTCCTGAGATGCAAGAGCTACGTGATATCCGATACAGCGATGGATGGGTTTCGATCTTCATACGTGTAACGCAAGCCTTGATAAGAGTCTACGGCATTGATATGTTGGCTTTCAGCTTCTCGGCGAAGCGGGGATTCGACAGTACGGCCCAGGAGCTCCTAGATGGCCCCAGAGATCTCCCATCTTGGGTACCGGATCCTCGGACTCCACAATACGTCGAACTTCAGGATCCAATTTAAAATAGAAGTGTGATGCTCTACAAAGCCGCGATTGGGATGTCGCAGCCTAAAGAGAGCGGCATTCTCTTTGACGGCTCCACGTTGTCGATCCAGGGCGCATTATTGGATTCAATTAGCAAAAGTGTACTCGAAATGCCAAAGGGGACATTTGAACTGTCGAATAGCCAGTGGCTTATCGATGTCCTGATTCCATGGATTAAAACCACGAGAGATGCTTTGACAGATACGGCTATCTACAAGGAAATCCCTTATCAAGGCTTTCAACTTCCAATAGTCGAGGACATCAGAGACACTTTAGGAGACCCATCTGTTCAAAAGGACCTCGCCCGACAAACCTCCGAAGTGATTGCCATACTCCGCACCGCAGTCGCAGATCGCCGAAAACCAATGCCATGGACGCAAGTCCCAAGCCGTCGACTGAACCAAGTAGAGGACGCGATTGCTCTCAGTGAGATATCCGCCTCTATCCTTACCAACAAGGCCCCTAACCACATGTCTAAGGCCGCTTCTGAATCCATCAACGAGCTACGGAACGATGGATTCTTTTTACTCTGGCGAATGTTCGTGACTGAGAATGGCTATCTGGGCCTGACACGACTAGGAGTCCAGACGGGAGATATTGTGTGCTTGTTCCCGAACGCTAGCACGCCTTATGTGCTGCACCCGTTCGAGGTGAATGAGAATGGTACAGTACAGAATTATCGGCTTGTTGGTGACGCATATGTACATGGGATCATGGACGGAGAATATACCCCTTCTGATGCCGCATATAGAGTATTTGATATCGTTTGACATGTTGTCTATGGAGCGGGACTCTTCACCCATGTCTCATACAAGACGGTGAGGACATGCTAAGAAACAACAAAAGCGGTTCCTAGGCCCTCGAGTACGTGGAAGAGCTGAACCTCTTTCCCCAAGCCTTCTACGTGGCAGTCGGAAACTTCGTATTGCGCATATGAAATTGCGACTCCGGCGAGATGCTCTGATCATGCCTGCAATAGCGCCAGCCTAGGCGGTGGGGAGAATACGCATCCTCACTCATCAGATGCTATTGCCCGACCAGGTTTCGCATTATGTACTACTTCTCTGCCTATTAGGACCGCAAGAACCTCTACCTGGACATCCTGACTCACATAGTATCCCCACAAGGCGGAGGATGTTAAGAGGCATCTGCGCAACATCTTACCAGGCCTTGTTTCTTCATTGCAAGGAATTGACCTCAAATTCTAGCAAGCTTGGAAAGGAAGAAGCTCAGGGCGGTCAGCAAGACAGTTGCAGCAGAATATAAAAGAACTGTAGACGAGAAGATAGCCATGGTCTATGGATAACTCTGATGACGACGGTCGGGTTGCGCTCAAGTAGTGCACGTAGAGTGGTGAGAATTGGATGGCAGTTTGAGGGTGTGGGATTTGACGAGGCAGCGATCGAAAGGTCGGTGAACTTGTTGTTTGAATCGTCGTTTCATAACTTGTCTCTCATTTCGTAACCGAAACTTTTCATCCAGGAACAATGTGACTACATTCCGAGGTTTTACTGGGGTCAACGTGCATATATGAGGCAGCATGTTATTCTTCACCACCGCCAGACTCTCACTGAGCCAAATTGGATGCAATGTCCGGTAATAAAGCAACGTGTCAACGGTGATCTGCAAATTCTCGCGGACCAGTCCGTTTACTTAGAGTAGAACAGCCGCCCATAATCAGCTAGAGCACGTTCACTATCACCAATCATAAAAGCGGATCTCAAAGAGTTCAGTTCACCGACTCCAATTCGATGACTGTTCAGGGCATCCGTTGGCAAAGGATGTGGTGTAGCCTTGCTGGATATACCCGGTCCAATCATTTACTCCGAAGTCTTTTGTTCGCACATGAAGATCCACCGCCCTGCATTGGCGGTCAGTCGTCATTCTCGCAGCAGCTTTTGACAGCTCGATGACGATCACTCATCTCCACCAATGACTGAAATTATACTAGCTGAGCTGCATACTGCAGACAACAGCTATTCGAAATGAACCGCGCATGAGGCACAGCTGCCTACGTCAATCTTGTACGTTCTCGCGTCGGATTGAAGCGCTGCAGCTACCCCTGGATTTCGGCTGCTGGTTTGTATGTAGAATATGGACGGACTTTGAATTTTCATCTGCGTGGTAAATGCAGGTCAATGTGTCAGATTGTGCTACCAGCCTGTATGGAAGTCCATTTTGAGCACGGAGCTGAAGACCTGTTGTAGGAGCAGACATGTTCCCTCTCATTTACCATCTCGATCTGCGATTAAAGTCTGAAGCAGGGTCAAGCCGAGCTGGCTGAGCCACATGATAGTAGAATACTTGAGTTGCGGTCTTTTCCTGTCAAGGCTAAAGCGTAAGGACTTCAGCCTTGTCTACTTTCGAGTGATTGTTAGCGCCCACTATTGAAAGTCCCATTAAATCCTCTTTCTCGTAAGCTGTGCGAACGGCATCACGACCATCAGACTTGGCTATTATCTGTTTCAACATGACAACACTGGATCCCAACACGCCCGCAGGACGTCCTCCGCCTGGTGTCATCCCTAATTTTCATGCCTACTCACGAGCTCCAACTCTCTATGCAACATGTTCAACGGCTACGGCCATGATGATAATATTTGTTGCATTGCGTCTTTATTCGAGATGCCGATATACTAAGCAGCTTGCATCAGACGACTGTAAGCCAACCATAAAGCCGAGTGAAGTACAGAGAGCTGCTGACCTTGAGTAGACACTTGTATTGCTGCTGCTGTTAGCGTATCTTTTCCTTCACGATTTGACCAATATCTCAAGTGATCGCAGGTTGGAGCATCGGGCTTTGTAGCAGCGACTATGATCTGTCAGTGTTAGCTACAAGCTACTACGTGCCGAGAGCTGATGGCTTGGTAGCTACAGAATCAGGCTATGGGAGACACATCTGGGACTATCCAATTGCGACATTCGGAGACACCTACGCTGAGGTTTGCCGCTCAGACAGCCTTGGGTGCACTAGCTCATCTACTCAAGCTTGGCTGACCGTTGTAGAAAGCATATGCCGTGCAGGCAATGTACTCGCCTGTCATTCTCATCACGAAAATATCGCTCCTCCTGCTCTACTATCGAATCTTTTCATGTGTGCGCAACACCCGATGGCTGATCTATCTCGGAATCGCCGTCAACTCCGCTTTCTACGCCATCAGCTTTGCGCTCGTTTTGTATTTCTGTGGACCTCCTCCTGGAGAATCATTCCAGAAGGCTTTTGCTAATGAGCATCGTGTTGTCCAAGCAAGAGCCTTGGGAACAGTACAGGCTTCCTTCAATATCGCGAGTGACATCTATCTCCTCTGTATTCCGATACCAGTGACTTCCAGCCTGCAGCTATCGCGCAAGCGGAAATTTGGTGTGATTGCCATATTCATGACAGGAACTCTGTGAGCTCCCCCACCTCAGCAACGATGGCTTATATATTCACACTCATGTAGAGCAATCATATGCAGCATTTTGAATCTCTATTATCGAATCCGCAATGGTCGAGCCCTTAATGATTTCTCCTGGGCGATCATCCCTGTCTACATCACATCGTAAAGAGTCCCCAAAACTGAGACTTACATCCAACGCTTACACTTTTAGGGTCGTCGAAATTGACGTTGGCATCATGTGTTGCTGTTTCCCAGCGCTCCCTCCTGTTCTGCGTAGTGCGGGGGAAATCTTCAGGTCCCGCATGTATTGGATCACCAAGATCAGTAATTCTCGATTCTTCAAATGGATTGGTCTCCGCCGCGAGGGCAGTACGACGCCGACTCCCGGTGCCGACAATGGGAGGGTGACTCTTGGTTCCGCAGTCAAGGGCAATGGGCACTTTCTCACGCTCCGAAGCTTTGATACGCCAGACACAGGGAACAATTTGTTGATGCAGAGCAGGGTCAGCCACAGTAATCGCAGTGGTCAGGAGTCCTTTGACGAAACGACACTTAAGGAAACCGACATGAGCTACAGAAGTGTTTGAAGCGTAAACAATGACACGCCATTGCGAAGAAGATGATGAACAAGCCGAGATTCAGTTGTTTAGGCAACGTCTCATTTAGGTCGAAGCCATGGCTGGGGGTCATGATGTACTAGCGTTGCGATGAGACAGTGACACTGTCTACTGTGGTCCAGAATCTAGGCTATCTGAGTATGGACTTTCAGGTTCAACCCCGTGGCCTAGTCAAAATAAGCCTTTGATATGTGGTGTACCTATAAAGAAAACACTTCGCCCCTCCTAACTCAGGTAGCGAACCTTTTGCAGCTGAAGAGATTGTGCAGTGCGCATAACTCAGGGGGTGTGAAACATTAGGCAGAGAGGGATGAACACAAGATCTCCAATCATCCACTCGGAAGGGCACAATAGTGCAGCAAAAGATTGGAATGAGGCGTATTCAGGCAAACAGGGCGCAGCATACAGCCTGCTTGAAGAGCCGAGGGTTTCGGGTCAAGAAACAAAATAGTAGGCTGATATATCTCGAGGTGTGGATTCGGCTTATCTAGCTGCATGATGTATCTCTTGTGGCGTTGCAGGCATTACTTGCGCTGCAGCATAACGTTACGGAATGTATCTTTGTGTACCTCGTCAGCAAGGAATGTCCCCACTTGCTCTCCACTGCTAATGAAATCGACAATTCCCCAGCCTTATCATTCGTCCTATAGTATATGCGGTCTCATGTACAGCGGCAATAGGCTCAAGCGTGGAAGTTCACCTATCGATCTGTATCCTACCTACATCCTTAGGTACGTCGGTGAACCACCAACTTATCTTTGCCTTACTCGTTGATATCTTAGTCTTGCAGCTGTTGACACGTGATCCCGACTCGATCAAGAACTGAATGAGCGCCTTGATCTGCATCCTGACCTAAGGTCTATCAGCTTCACCCAGCCGAGCAAGCCCCAGAAGAACCTCCCCGCACGCTACCTTGAAAAGCCCCGAAGAGCCCGTCTGTACTCTGTATCATACCACTGTCATTCATAGAACGATCCAAACCCTTCTTACGTTCATGGAATGGTCCAAGTATCAAGAGGCTTTAAGGAATCATCTGAAGTCGTCTGTAACCCTAACTCTGTGCTTGCTGCCGGCGGAAAAGCCGATGGATTTGTCAAACTCTAGCTGTCGCCTTTGACCAGACCTAGACGAGCACGGAAGGCCCACAGTCTAGGCTTAGTCCAAATCGTAAATATCACAGATATGAAAACCATTACGTAAAGATGGGACGACTGTCAAATTAAAGTTCTAATTAGTTTCCGCTGCGCTGAACGTGATGAATTAAAGGTGCCATGGCACCGCTTAAAAATATGCAGGTAGCCGAAGAAAATTCCCTCTCATCGTACCAGTCATCTCCCTATCGTTATACCAAGCTGTACATAGAGATTGACGTCGCTGTCTTGGATCGGCAAGTAATTGCGATACATTGTCCCTTTGTCCGCTGAAATCCAGGGTGGTAGTATCGCTCTCCCAACACATTTTAGATTTGACATTACTCCACGCCAGATCACAGGTCTTTGCATTGATCTTTGTACTCACGAAGGCTTTACAACACTGCTCACCATGCTCAGGATTGGGATCATGGTTGTAATATGTGTCTGTGGAAGCGAATGACCACCGTCGGAGATTCCGGTCTTAGTGAAACTTGCTTCAGTGGATCGCCAATGCTGATTCATCATCGTAAAATCTATACATCCATCCAATTTTATGTAGGAACATCCCATCTCACCCTTACCCCCACCCCCAGCCCCAACTCACCACCACCGCCACTACTACCACCCACATCACCCCTCTCCACCCTCCCGTCCCCCCAAACTCCCTACTATATCCCCTTCCCACCCCGCTCACAGTCTCTCCACCAACCCCACCACCCCCACCACCCCCACCTCCATCCGTGACGCTCGCCCCATTCACAGCCGTGCTCTCCCCACCCACCGTCAAAGTCCCCTTAGCATCCAAACTCACACTCGTCCCATCGACCGTAACAGCCGGCCCGCCGGCCGAAACCGTCACATTTCCAGACTTGACTGCGGAGGGCTCGCCATCTGCGTTCGTGCCGACTAGGGGGGTGAAGGTCTTGCCTGCGAGCGTGAAGGGCGTGGGTGACGGGCTGGCGCTTTGCTGAGGAGAAGAGGAAGGAGGAGGAGGCGGAGGCGGAGGCGGGGAAGTGGGGTTAAAGAGGTCTACAGAGGCGTTAGGGTTTGATGGCGCAGTGACAAGGTCGTTGCTGGTAAGAGTGGCAGCAGCTCCACCGGGGGTAATTACTTGAGTGCCGATCTTGAAGCCGTTGGGGTTGGGGGTGAAAGTTTGGCCAGCGATCGTGATCACCTGCCCTGGGGGCGGTAAGGCGGTTTTGCGGTTGTTGATGTAGAGATTGCCTTGTTTGTCCAGGGACACGCTTGTACCTGGGGTGGATTGGGCTGGGAGTGTGATTGCTGGACCACCAGGGCTCACAGTTTGACCACCAACTGTAAAGCCTGAAGGATTAGGCGTGAATGTCTCGCCGCCTAGGGTGACTGGCTCTCCAGAAGTCGTGTCAATCTTCTTCTTGTTGACGTAGAGATTGCCTTGCTTGTCAAGCGAAACGGCGCTTCCACCAGAGGCTGGTAATGACGCATCTCCAGTCGATGGCGCTGTATCGCCGGCTCCTTTCTCGCCTGTAGGTGTTTGCAAATTAGTCCCACCAGCGGAAACTTGATCATCATCTTGATTAAAGCCTGGGCTTGTCTTTTGAGAGGCGGGCTTTGACTCGCTGTTAGAGTCTCCGAAGAATTTGTTGTCGAAGCTGCCAGAATCCCCGCTTATGGGAACGCCTAAGTCACCTTTTGCAAGCCCGGCGTTACTTGTGTCAGCAGCATTGGGTCTATCGTCAGACCCCCCGGAGCTTGACTTGCCAATGCCATCACCTCCAGAGCTATTCTCTCCCGACGTGTTTCCTCCTGGTGTATTTGCCGCTGGCCCTCCACTTCCTGACTCTCCACCTCCGGTAGCCCCTAATCTATCACTAACAGCGCTATTAGTTCCAGCATCACCACCGCCAGAGCCTCCACCGCCAGAGCCACCACTGCTAGAGCCACCACTGCCAGAGCCGCCACTGCTAGAGCCTCCACTGCTGGTAGAGCCTCCTCCACTGCTGGTAGAGCCTCCTCCACTGCTAGAGCCTCCACTGCTGGTAGAGCCTCCTCCACTGCTAGAGCCTCCACTGCCAGAGCCTCCACTGCTACTGCCTCCACTCCCCAAATCTTCACTCCCAATGATTCCACCTCCAGAACCTCCACTAGTAGAGCCTACAGACCCACCATCTCCTGGATCGGCTTGAGCCGAATTGGGGCCTCCCTCTGCGCTCTTATCAGAGCTTGCGACGCTTCCTTCTGGCTCCTTATCTGCTGCTTTAGTGTCCGAGCCATGCGTATCCCCATGATCTCCAGTGTCTCCCTGAGAAGTCGTCCTAAAGAACGTCCGTGAGAAGTCCTCGCCTGACGACGGATCCTGCGATTGAGGATCTGGGTATGCCTTGCTTCCTGGAGCCGGGCTGTTCCCAGCCCCTACAGGATCCGGATTGTTAGAGCTATCCACTGGAGTAGGATCGTTATTCGCGGACGACGGGTCCTGCGATTGAAGGTCCGGGTTCGCCTCGCTTCCTGGAGCCGGGCTATTCACAGCCTCTGCAGCATCCGGATTGTTAGAGCTATTCACTGGAGTAGGATCGTCATTCGTTGTCGAATCTTGCGATGGCGAGGGCGACGGTAGAGATGGGCCCAGAGTCTGTGGCACCATCTCGTTGGCCCGTTGCTTGGCGGCAGCTGCTGGAGGGGCGGAATTGCTAAAGCCTGGGTCAGGAGGGCCGTTGGGACTAGCCTGCTTTACGTTTGACAGCAGAGAGGTGTATATGGGGTATCCATGGGGGGGATCGAAGAGAGCGAAAGGTCTGAAGTCAGGTGGGTACAGTTTGTTTCCGCAGAGGTTCCTCCATGCCGAGTTCGCATTCAATAGCTCAGGAGGCGGAGAGATCAGTGGGAGATAAGGGGAGCCAAAAGTAGTGATCTGGGCCGTCCCAAACCTATCACTGGATATGCCCTTCCCAACACCAAATGTTGGGCAGGCAAGATCAACTGTGTTGATCTTCTGCGGATAAAGGGTAGGTCCCGAGATATTGCCATAGCCGTATCCATCCGGGATGTATTGATCGCCCATTGAGACGCTCCCAGTCATCGTGAATAGGTCCCCAGGTGCGACTGCAACGAACCTCGAAGTGGCCAGCTCTCCTAGAGAGCCACAATCATCAATGACCGATGCGGTGCCCATGAGCTCGAGGTACAAGCTTGGGTAAGTCCTGAGCGGTGATTAGAAAGGACACAATAGACCCCAAAGGTTAGGGAATGGCGACGTACAGGGTATGGCCACTGACAATTATCTCTCGAGGCGCTCTTTTGGCACGATCCTTATCGCCAGAGTGAAGGATATTGAGTATGTCATTGTTGCTGTATTTATGAGTACTGTTTGTAGAATTGGACACTGATGATAGCCCATGTCTCGTTCCGGCAATTGATGAATTGCAAGTTGCATTGCTGGTGGTATCGGAGAAATAATGTAACTTGACTTCACTGATATCGACATAGCAAGGTCCACAACAATACTGGTGGTCACCGCCAGCGATCTTGTCCGCGTTGTGGATCAATCCTGGCCAGGGATATTGAAGCCCAGTACGATTCGTTGGGACCAGCGGTGTGCCTGTTGATCTTACCGTTTGTTCCGTTAGGGATCCATGTCCTCTCACAGAGGAGTTTTGCATGGGATATTTCTGCGTCTCGGCAGGTAAAGTCGTCGGGCATAAGTTGTCCAATGGTTGGTGATTTATGAGAGCTTTCGCGTATGATATGCATTCTGGGCTTCGACCATAATGGACAGTCCAGTTGAGAACTCGTCTTCATGAGCTACTGTTATCTCAAAGTAGATTATCAACACGTACCAGGATTGTTGGAGACCCCAGTTGATTGGGCTGCGAGATAACTCGAACATGGCGTCGTTACGGTCTTCGTCACGAAGCTTTTCCCATCGCAAGACTGGGAGGCGACGGTGATGGAGCCTGTCTGGCAAAATGGACCATATATGTTGCATGATTGGTTGTTGGCAAAGGGGATGATGTAGGGGAAGTAGTCTCTATATGAGTCTCCGCCACAGCCTTTAGGATCATCTAGTTGAGCCTCGTTCTTGTCGCCTTTAACGAATTAGTCTTACGGTCTAGCGCCTGGCGCAATGGTTGTCTATGCTTACTATTGAACCCAGGAAGCAATTGGGTCGAGCCATATTGGTGCAGAATCGCAGACACTAGCAGAGACCGAATACCAACAGTCCATTCTCGCATCACTTAAGGGCGGATTAGATCTTGAGGGTTGAGCACTAGTACTGCTTTCAGAGTATTAGTGGTTGACATTAATGCTCGAGTTGGCTGTCCAACAAACAACACGTTGGCTAGAGATGTTGTAAATTTTAGAGAGCAATGGGGAGCCATCCCCATTGCACGGCCCAGGAGTGTTTGAGGCCATTTTCTTGTTTCGAACATGGAAACGTTATATATACGCGGTAAAGGTTATATATATATGCGCACCAATGTCTTCAGCGGGAGAAGCGGAGAAAAGGCCGGCAAGGTCTGTACACAGCCCCGTCAAATTTCCGCCCGGGCAGCTGTCTCGTGGAGTTAATATGCAACCTTAATATGATGTAACTCAATCTCTTTGCTTGTTTCGTGGTAAGACATGGTAAGACATGGAGAGAAATCGGTTGAAGGTCCTCTCAAAAGTGGAAAGCGGAGCGGGGAAACATGGCTCCGGCCGGCTGCTTCCATCAAACTATTCCTCTTTCGGAAGATTCAGGGGAAGTTATGCAGGTCTAACTAATTTGCACAAGTCTTATGCCATATCCATATCAATGGGTATAGTTGACTTTTCATAGTCCGTCTCAAGCTCAATTGATATGTATTATAAAGCAGACAGACCAGTCGCTCCATCTCGACCGATGTAAGTCAATCAAAGCGTTGACTACGTTGAAAGCAAGTGGTTCTAAAGGATCATCATGCATGCACAGTCTTGACATGGTTGCACCTCAGCTGAGTTGTTTGATATACGAGGTGATTGAGCAAATCTCTAGTTTTGACGGCCACGTTAAATGAGGAAGAGTAGATGTCCACCACGCTTCTCAACATTAATCAAGTCTTAGACCGCAGTGCGATGACCACTTGGAAGAATTGGTTGGTATTCTTGCTCCTCTTCCAAATCCTTCAGAGTTTGAGATGCGGAGGAGACCCAGCAATATTTGAGAGTCCCTATTCCATTGATAGGGAGGCGTAGCCGCAGCGAAAGCATTTCGCATGGCTCCTAAGGGCTTTTAGGCGAAGCTGATTGTCCCCAAAAACATCGTCGAAGCATTTATTAACCATCTTGCTATGGATAACATCTTTTGCAGCCTTGCGCTTGTAATTGATGTCTTTGCGAGCTGACTTTGAGAAGGCTAGCTTTCGCTGCAATATATCCAGAATAATGTGCAGATCCGCAAGACTGCTGCGATGGTCTTACGACTCACGAGCTCTAATCTTTTCTTATGTGCCTCTCGCCAAAACAACTTGAGAGTCACATGTTCTGTCAGCTTCCCAGTCTATCCGTGTCTGATTCTCTTGTCAATCTACGTTCGACTCCGCAAGGTCTACGCGTACAAAGTCCCTCGCGTCTTCGACTACCTAGTACCAAGAAGCGTCTCTTGCCTTGGGCATGCATATCGCTTCCTAACAACTGAAGACGGTTCGCCATGCGACTCATCTCCAACGGCTGAAACCATCGTCCGCATGCTGGATTTTGCTCTGGTGGTGGACAATACCGTTCGTGAATTCGAGCAGTAGATCGTTTACTGCGTTTAAAGTATTCTTCTAAAATCAGCTCCACCCCTGTTCTACCCACCCTCCTCGCTACCACACCAAAAGCGGACGGTATTCCTATCAAAGATCTCGAGGCATGATACGGCTTCAGCGCACGCGAACATCCCCCTCACTTGACTGACAAGGAACGCGCGCACTTTATGCGAACATACTGCACGGCGTGGGGACTAAGGCAGCTGGAATCCTGCGAATGGAGGGAGAGGCTTGAAGTCCTGATAAGTCAGATCCTGATAAGTCAGAACTTCATTACCGCTGCGAGATGAAGAAGCTCACCTAGCCCATTAGCAAACCGGGCGAAGAGGACGTCCCACAGCCATCTCTCTCAAGACCTCTTCATCGCAACCTCTAGGGCTGGCGTCCTCTACTTCTGTGGCTCAAAGTCTATCAAAGATAAGCGAAAACCTTTCGCATACGAAAGGCACTAAGGATTTGCCTACACGCTTCTCACCTCCCCTGTGGTACCTTTGTTCTCGCCAACAGGGCGTGGTATCGACTATCACCTATATCTTGGGCTTTTGCGCAGACATTAAACTCACTACGTGATCGCTCAGAGATCAAGGACTAAGTTGACTAAGGAACATTTTGCGAAGAGGTTCGTTGAACATACAAAAGGCAGATGACAAATTACTCACAACGCTTCCTAGCACTGATCCCTTATACCACCAAAGTTCCAGCTCCCCTTTGCCCTCGAAAATCGCGCTCGAGCACTCACGGACCTGGAGTCTATCAAGGGTACATCAAGCGCGCCTATGGGATAGCTTAGGCCAAAATGTCAGGAGATGTTTAACTTCAACCTTAATACCCAAGTGGCACTAGGCTGTCTTAGTTGGTCGTTAGATCAGCGAAGAGCGCGGCCTAAAGTGAATAGTAAGTGGTCTGATGGTCAAGTCAGGGTCTTTCTGCACTTCCACTTCTGGGAATGCCTGCTAAGCAAGGTCTAGAACATGAGGCTCCACCATTTAGACCCCAGAGTCACAACGCCTTCAGATTCTTCCAACGCTTTTAAAGGCAGAGCACTAAGATAGCAAAAAGCTTGCCCTAGCCCGTGCTGCAAGTGTGGGATCAGTCGAGCCTCAAGAGGCCTGCAGGTGACTTTTGGCCAATATGACTGTTGCCCATATTACCTTCCTCGGATTAGTCTTGAATCCATATTCGACTTCACGTAAACCTTATGCCCTCTCGATCGTGGAGATTACTGACTCAAGAGGCAGCTACCACACTTGCTCCGGAGTGAATGCTCGGATGATCGAAAGCCACAATCGCTTCGCACTCGCCCTAGTTGTAGCTATTGCAACTCCACTGAAGACAAGCGCAAATCTGAGTCCTTCAGAAAGGCCGCTGAGAAAACTATGGCGAGTAGGAGTCTCCCCACCCATTCCCTGAGTTGCTTGATGAGACTCTCCAGTATTTCTTGACGCCTATCTGAAAGTCGAGCGCTTGCTCTTGCTCTTTTCACCTTGATTACTCGTCAAAATGCGGTACATCATAGCAGCTTTGTCTCTCATAAGCACTGTTATCTCCGCCCCCGCCCCTGAGAACCATGTCAGCGCATTTTTCGCACCCCGAAATCTGACGACCATCAAAATCAAGGACTCACTCTTCGGCATCCGCAATGTCGACTACTGGATAACATCTCAAGGCCAAGCTATCATTGACGGCTCGATTGTCTACGGCTCTGAGCAAGAGCTTCTCAGCAAACAAGTCTCAGCTTCGTCCAAAGACACAAGGGCCTTTGATGTCTTCGCCGGCGCGCAATCGTGGCCCAACGGCGAGATCAAATACAGGTTCGTGGACGGTTCAGCGCAATCTCAGCTCGATACGGAAGTGACCGCAACGATCAATCGCTGGCTCACCGTCGCGCCCTGGTTGACCTTCACGAAATTGACGCCGAGTGATGCCTTCACACCGGGCACTCTGACAATCACACACAATGACTGCTCAGGCTGCGTCGCTAGCTTCGGGTACGATAAGAACTCCGCGCGGACGATGAACCTGCCATGGCCAAATAGTGCGTGCCCCAATGCCGGCTACTGCGGCGACAACGAGATCGCGAAGCTATTCGGGTATGTCGTTGGTGAGTCCTCCTCTTCCCCTTCCCCTTCCCCCCCGTTCGTCCCCTCCTCCCTCGTATTATTCCCTTCCCCTCCACACATAACACATACTAATCGCGCACCTCCGTCGGCAGGCGCAACAAACGAGCACCAACGCCCCGACCGCGAAACCTACGTAACGTTCCACTGCGAAAACGTAGTCCCGATCTGCACGAACGGCGTGCCCCTCCCACCGGGCCAGAACTGCTGCAACGCCCGCTCCTGCACCTGCGCGGGCATGTCCTGGTTCGCCCTCAACACCGCCTCCACGCTCGACTCCGTCTCGCCCTACGACGTCAACTCCGTCATGCACTCGCCCTCCGACGTGTACGCGAAAGCGGGCACGCTGACATTCACGCCGCGGAATGCGTCGGGGCCGGCGCCGCCGACGCAGGCGAATCAGGGTCCCAATCCTAGCAGTGGGGATGCGCTGGCGTTGTGTAAGCTGTATGCGGGCCAGTGTCAGCGCGCGCAGGATTGTAAGGCACGGCCGAATGGGGGATGTCCGGCGCCGTGTATTGTGACCCCCCGTGCGCGTGGACGGATCCGAGGTGTAAGGGAAAAGAGCCCGCGAGATGCTGTGATAGTACGGCGTATGATGCTTGCGTGGCGAAGAAGAATGCTTGTTCGGCTGCTGGGTGCGATTTTATGAATGATGCTAATTCGGGGTGATGGCTGGCGAGGAGAAGGAAGGGAAAGTGGGGGCTGGGAATGTAGGCTTAGTATGCTGAGAAGGGGGCTAAAGGGGGTCGAGAGGATTTAGAGAGAGCGAAGAGGAGCGGCTTTGCTAAGAACATTAGTGAGACACGTGTTGAGATAGTGTACATTTGCTTACATTAAGTTCTCACACCTTCCTCACCATGATGAGAAGTCTAGCGATAGTACACTATAGGTCTACACTGCCAACACATCCATCGTAAGGGCACTGTATGGAAAGGCCTCGTCTTAGTAGATAACAATCTCTCTGGGCGCAAAGTCCTCAAAATATATAGCCTCGCCACCCATGATGCCATGAATATAAGCATCACCAACGAGCTGAACCGCCTCCTTGTCGCCCTCGCTAGGTCTGAACACAAAGGGAATCGGTGCCCCCAGCACCACGGCGATTGTATCACTCAATCTCGTGCATGAAGGCACAAGGCCCATGAATCCCTTGCTCGTGACGACCAACCTACGTTCCTGTAATTTCGAAAGTGCGCGGGTTTGAAACGTATTGACAGCGCCACTGCATGTGCTCCTTCGTAATGCGGTGTTGAAGCTGCCGATATGCCTGGTGAATGCAACGAAGCAGATCATGGCAACGAGCCAAGTGATCTTGCGGTAAGTAATAGCAGTTATCGTGGCCATTATGTCACTGGATGTCTGCGTAGTAAGCGTCTCGTCTACAATGATGGTGCGGGCGAAAGCGGCATCTATGTCCTTGTATCGTAGACGCAGCAAAGCCTTCAGTAAAGGCTCAAAGATGAGTTTTCTCGTATGCGTATGCTAGGTAAGGAATGAGTTCACTTGAGTAGCTTCGCTCAAAGTTTGCTTGCTACTTGCTTTACTCAGGACTAAAGGGTCTTAGAGTTCCAGGAGTGTGTCGACTTGTTGCAATTTGTTGTTCTCCGAACAAAGGATTCAGATGTTGGAGATATGCGTTGGAGCCTCCACTTCCTGACATAGTGAGCGCCATGGTCTGTGATGTGATATATCGGGCAACACTTCGATGTAAGGGTTAGAGTCCTCGCAAGAGGCCTTAGCGAGATAAATTGAGGGAGTTTGTGCCTTCACCTGGCTTAGGGACCGTCAATTACAATTTATTCATCGCGTGAACAAGGAAAGGAGAAGGCTTTAGTGAATGCTCCCATTTTCTTCTTTAGCGACAGAAGTTGTGTCGTGGTATGTCTAAGAGAATGTAGAACTACTAGGCCATTTGCGTGCCATCAAATCATTGTAGTGATATCTCATACACTTTGAAGTGCTCCGCTCATGGCATACTGATTATCCTCCGTATTAGAAATATTCGACGGGCCCCAGGAGTCTCTGGTCACGTCGTCAGTATGCGTCGCCTCGACCGAGTCTGGAAGCGCGCCATGGTCTGCGAGGAACCCAATATCCGGTTGACTGAACGCATGACGCACAGCGCTTGTGAGCGTGTTGGGTACTAGTTCCAATTCGATGCCTTCTACATCTCCACTGAGCGTCTGTCGTCATCGAAGATCTCGTCTACGTAGCTAATGTGTTTTTAGCGCATTTACAGAACTCATGAGTGCAGGCATAATTACCCCTTCTTGCTGAATTAGTTGCCAGCATATAGATATGAAGGAGGCGAGGCCGATTGTAAAAGCTACGTACTGTCCAGCCGATCTAAGGGAGTAGACGCCGACGACTTTGTTCCACTTTAGGATTGCTTCAATGGCGGTGATTGATACCGCGAAGGATACTAAACCCAAGGCAGCACAACGGATGCGATATCTCCTTGACGTAGTCAGTATACAGAGATGACGCTACCCTTGAGATGTACCTTCGCTTATTGATGTCAATGGGTGTCACTAGATAAATACCGTCTCTAGCATGTGGCGAGAGCCCAATCTCCACTCTGATTTCCCTGTATATTTTGGTGAATTTCCCAAGAAGTCTCTTAAGCCTTCGTACCATTCGAGATCTCATTGAAAGCTGCACGGACATAGTCGGTGTTGCGGTCTCTGCCGAGTTGTTGCTTGACTGGTGTGGAGTGAGGAAGAATGATTGATAGAAGAGGGAGTCTTTGACAGTTCTCTTCATCTCCGCCGCAAGGAGCATACCCATGAATGGAAAGACGAACAGCAATGGGAAAGAGAACGGGGCAATGGCTGCAGTCAATAAGTCTCTAAGCACGAAGAAGCTTCGACTAGGATCTTTCATTGGCGCCAAGAAAAAGTGGTATGTTCCACAAGGCATTCGAGAAAAGGTCTGGTCATAACCATAGTAGATGTAGAAAATTCCATGATAGAGCATCAAAATATGTGTCGTGGAATAGATGGCAGTAGTCCAATGAAGCCTAATCCACGCGATGGTTGATCCCAGCCGTTTCGAGCTTGGCGACGACATGAAGACGCAGAAAACTCCTCCCCAGTACATCCAATAGAATATCTCAATCTCAATAGCAAAGGTACAGGAAGCGATGAAGGTCGAGGTGATCGTTGCAATGCAAATTGCTAAAGAGAAGATCAAGAAAGCCTTTTGAGGTTCCTTACGGCTCTCTGGGAGTAGGTTGTTGGCAAGCAAGGACGAAACCCATTGAAGGTATATGCCAAGTCGGATTCCTAAACCATACAAATCCTGATTGCCAACGAACCCCTGATGACAAAGCGTTGGATCATTCTGTATGTTTAAAGCGGCCCTCATATCAAAGGCAATATACCTGAATATCTCGGCGAATGACTCAATTCGACCGAATTGAGTGCTGTAAATAGCTTCTGTAAACAGCGGTACCTGCACTGCTTCAACACGAACGTCACATCTTTCAGACGTTTGAGGGAATGGTCCTGTAGTCCACTGCAGCACCATCGAACCCCAACCCTCCTCAAGTGGTTTGTTAACTGTGAGTGTCAGACTAAGGATGAATATCACCCCAGTGAGAGAGAACACCAAGGTTGGGTTATGAAACAAAAATTCTGTGACCCAAAAAAGAGCTTGCCACGCCGGATGCAACGGTTGGTGGGCACTCAATGATCCTTCGACCCGTTTAATACCTTTGAGATACAATGTCATTTCCAGAATCCCCATTAGGACCATAGAGCTACCAACTTCAATCGTTAGGATTGCCATATATGAATTGAATGTCGGGAAAACCCTAGCATTACCGATAGATAAAGCCGGCACAGTATATATAACTGTAACGCAGCAGCAGCCAAACGTGAGTGCATACACCGTCCTCATAATTCCCCGCTCTCCAAACCAATTTTTATAGTCCTCAGTACCAGATTTCGGACTGGCGGCAGCTGACTCCTGGACGTTCTCCAACGGCATATCCGGCTCCAGGTCCACGCCTGGTGCTTCATGCCCTTCGCTTGGCGGCCTCTGCCCAACATTCTCTATAGCTCCAGCATCAACAACGTTCGACTGCAAGACCTCAGAGCCATTGGCGGAGCTATCTCCTTCACTGTCTTGAGATTCCGGAGAGGTCCGTGAATCAGCGTGATCGTGAGTTTCTACGCTCTCAGCGCTGTTCATCATCAGTGACAAGCTGCTCCAGCTTTGCTCCGCAAAGATTCTGTGTTTACTAGGTAGATAATGATACTTTAAACCAGCGAGCTGATGGATGAAGTCGCGTGAAGTTTAAATGAGGCTGAGGATATGAGGGGTTAGATAGGCAGCCATTTCGCACTAGCTCATCTTTGGCTAGCGTAGCTTCACTCTCGCTGCTGACATAAGCATCCTATATCCCTCCAAAAATGAAGCAGAAGGCTGATCACCGATAGACTACTAACAGCTATCATCCAATGTACGTGTTGTCAGAGTGCGCGGCATAAAGCGCTAGCCATGCATTCAGCTGGCAAGCTTGAATGCCGCCCCCTAGCACTAGATTTCAACATTATATCAATAGATGGGGGATACACATCTAATACACGCTCCAGAGCTGCCTATACTAGCTATTCGGTGCACTAACAGATGTCTATCCTAAGCTCAGCGATGTGGACAACGACCCCCTCGAACCCTCTAAGGGACTGAGCGTGTAGTGACGCCATCCTCTTTACTCTAACCGCCTTCCCGCCAAAGGAGGCGCGTAGATTTTTACGTCATATTACTCGGCCCCCATCAATAGCAAGTGCCCCGTCTAATCGCAGATAGATATTAGTGATTCAACTACATCTATTCTATCAATTTCGAAACTTTACCATCGAGATTCCGTCATGCAAGACGAAGCAGATCCTGTGCATCGCGTCCCTAGACTCAGAATAACCGAGTCATGAAATACTTCCATTAATCAAGAAGCCGTTAGCTACATACAAGCACTCCCTAGGTTCCCCTCCCCCCAAACTCATCTGCAGGCCGACTATAAGGTTTCTGTAAGCTTTGAGTCCCTCTCATAGACACTAAATTATTATATCCAGTTGCAGCGATTCGTAAAGCATTCCTTTGGATTGATCTCTTGACCTTTTGAAACCCGTTTCTTCGTCGCCCTATCGACAGATTCTAAAACGCTCCCAACAGCAACTTAGAGACAAAATCTGTTCTCTTCACCACGGCAGGGATTACCCTAACCCTAGCTCCAAAAGCCGGTTTAGAAGCCAAGGCCAACGACTACTTCGACAGAGCACTCGAATGTAGTAGGAATCGCAAAAGAACCTTCTTATCCTCTCCAAGTACCCTAATTAGAACTAGCTCTACTATGTAGACTAGACTAGTATGCACCATAGAAGGAGTGCAGGAGGCGATATCAATTATTTTAGTATGATGTAAAGGGAAGGGGCCAGAAGAAGGCGCGAGGAGGAGCAGTCGAAAACCTTGAAGAGGGTCATTAAATATTTGGCGTTTGGAGACAGGTATTCTGCGGGGGATGAAGAAGGTCCTGTTGTTAGCATTATAGGTGAAATGAGATCCATAGGTGGAGGTGCATCCATGGACTCGCGAAAGGCTAGGACGATGACGAGGGAGTTTGTTAATGGCGGCGAAGCGTTAGAGCCTACGGTCGCGTCGGACATGCTAGGAAGATAAGAACTCGCAACGCTCTCGCGGAGATTTGGGTGGGGGATACTGCTTCTGCTACCGCTAGGGATAAGCCCAGGCGCCCCGAAAGATTGAAGTTCACGTTCTTGAGACAATGGGTATCGAAAAGTCTATAGAGTCCCTTTGGGCATTTGGCTCTAAAAAGCTCTCTAAGCCCCATCGCGATAATTCTGTTGCTGCAAGTCCTTTCGTAGTAAGTACAATTAGGTATGGCAGCACGAGAATCGGCGCTACGGGCGAGGAACAGAAGAAACGTCCAACATATTGCGACGGAGAAGACGACATAATCACTGAGCGCGCCGAGCTCAGCTGGTAGCGAGGCTTTGAGACTTGATGCCGATCTTACCAGAGAATTGCCCTCGGACACTCTCCTCTGGGAGACCCGTAGCCCAAGCTTCATCGCTTTACTCAACCAAGACAGATACCAGCCAAAGGGTATGGCCATCTCTTGCGATCATGGCCGATCTGACCAGTATAAATGTAGCCTTGCTCTTTTACTCTGAGCTCCACCTCCGAGACCCTTGGCTGGAATGCCACAAGAGATGGAATTCGACGCCGGAACTTTGTAAGTGCTAGCTAGCTTTTGCCTTCAAACCCACGGGAGACACTCCGAGCTGAAGGCGGCGTAGTGCAATATGCACCTTCGAGTTTCCTTTTTCCTTCTGGTTGCCTATGCCACTTGCGATCAAGTCCGGCAGCTTCCAGCGGAAGCAGGAGGGGCTTTTCAACTGCGGCGGCATCCTAAGAGCGCCCGCTGAAAGAATTGTCCAATTCCAAGTATTTGCCAAGCCATCTCTCGCTTCTATATAGTCTTTAGCAAAACAATCAAAATCGCACCTCTTCGTGTCATAGCCGGAGGAGGTCGTGACAATAACGAACCCTCTAGTGAGCTACTGTCTGGTCGCTGGCAGGCTACTCTGCCACGACCCGAACATCTATTAGGCCGCCTGTTTCTTGTGGGAGCTCTAAGCTGAGCCTGCGCCGCCACCATCGACGTCGCATCTAATCTTCGATGGCTGTTTCTCTTGTGCATACTGCATCGTTACTTTGAGCCAGTTACAAGGTGGCAGATTTTGTGTTCAGGGTAGAAGAATGTGGCCGTAAAGGAATAACATCGGTCCTAAAGAGATAGATGCTAGAAACTAGCTAGAGGGAAAGGGACATAGAGGAACAAGGTTGTCATTGCAGAGTAAAGTGTTGAAAGCGAGAGCCATTAGTCTTCATTTAATCAAGTAGATTATGCTTTAAACACTTTAACACCTAGATCACTTTGACCATTAGCATAACCAGTAAACGAGCAGAAGAGACCCGTAACTCACTGAAAAAGCTCTATACCTGTAGGAAGAGATCTTGACCACAATCTTCTGCAATATAGTTACTTCAATTGCATTGCGACATGACTTGGACTGACATATCCTCGACTCAAACGCGAAAACCAAAGAGCTAGATTTTTGGATACTCATATTTAATACTGGATCGGAATCGAAATATCATTATCACTGATTTTGGATTTGCAAATGTTTTCAATCCACGAGATGAACTGGAGACCTAACGGAGACCGCAATGCAATTTTACATGTGCCCTTCAACTTCCGTTGAGTGCATAGCAGACACTCGATGTAACACGGCTGCTGTGAAGAAAGCTAATCCTGGAAGCTATAATGGCGACCTTTTTCACGATGAGGTTCTAAATACCGCGAGGGTTTTCCCTTTTAGTATTAACATTCCATCGGAAGAGGACCCATTCCAAAGAACAACATCCATTTCCTAGTATCTTCTAATTCTATATATCAGTAGTACCGCACAAGCTCCCACGCACCGGCAACGCCTATGTGAGGACTATGCAGTTAGCAATGAAAGTGTTAGGAATCTAAACAATCGTTTCTGAGTCGGAAATGCAAGCTCTTCAAGCACACCTTGAAGTATTAATGTATATATGTATTCCCCTTTTCATAGATCTCCTGTCTCATCCCATACTCTCCGGTCTTACCGGCAGTCCATGCGCTAGCCCTTCACAATCATTTTTCCAACACTCGCCCAACAATAGCACCCATCCAATCTAATTACCCCTCCCCCTCCCCTTTCCCTTTCCCTTTTACTTTCACAACTTCCCACAAGAGCACTTCCGCCTTCCCTTCCCCTTCCCCTTCTACTGCCAAATCTGCCCGACCAACTCTAAGGCTTCTTGAACACGTTTTTCACGCTGAGTACGCAGCCCTTGCCCTTTATATGCTTCAGCAAGAGCCACCTCAAGCCTACTAGCTGCCGCGGCTGTGGTTTTGAGGAGTAAGCTCCTGAGGTTCTCGGTGACTATCTTCGCCTCTTTCTTCGCGGTTTCTTGGGTGTGTGAGTTTTTGTAAGCCTTTTGATTGGCTTCCGCTGGTGAAAGAGATATACATGGTATTACTCATGTCATATTAGCTAGCTTTTGAGCGATTATGTTTTTGATGCGAAGGCTTAGTCAAGACACCTGGCATACGACGGGAAAGCAGTCTCTTCAGCCATCTTTCCTTGTGACTTTGTCGGCAAGCAAGAAGCGATTCAGGGAGAAGAACTGCTGCTTTCTAATAGATTCGGAAGTCGTAGAAAATGATGCCAAATAGAAGGATAGGGGAGGTATTAGTGAAGAAGCAATATGCTAGGAGGGAGAGACTCAGAATGAAGATATGGAGATGATAGGAGGTCTAATTGGTTTGAAACAGCGTGGTAAATGACTTGCACATACACCAAAGACCCATAACGCCATCCATCTCAAATTCAGATGACGCCAACTATCCCAAAATCCAACATTAAGCAACATGTGACACCCTTTAGGCCGAAACTTATGAGAGAACCAAAATGCACGTCGCCTTCTCACAACCAAATGACTTTGCCGTTCTCGCTCGAGGCCCTTCTCACTCATACGCGCCGGCTCCCAGCGTAGCGACTCCATCCCTCCCTCGACCCCGGCGTGCTTGAGCTATCTCGGCAAGAAGCATTTGTTGTGGAAATGAGAATCAAGGAACTATTCTCAGATCATTCCAGTCGAACCATCCTTTTAGAGTTCGATGCCTGTGCGGGAGTTTAAGATATCTTATGGACTCTGTGTCGATGCAAGTAGATGCCCTCGTAGATTGGAGGTTCAGGGTTATTAGTGGCTTCCTCTTTCAGTACTTATACATTATCAACTGTTGGAGGCAGTAGCTACGGATAAGTATTAGTAAACATTAGTCAGTCTGGTTTTTTTCAAGGGTCTCTGCAGGGGGCAAATTTCGACTTACACCTGGAAGGCCGGCCATGATGGTGGTGTGTGTATGCCATGATAATGCTGACGAGAAAGCGCCGATTAAAGGATGCTAGGATAATTGTTGAAACGCGTTGAGGGCGAGCAGCCTTGTCAAAGATGAATAGAACTTGAAGGATGATGAAGATGATAAAGGTTGCTTTGGGGGTCAAAAAAAATTCTTATAGGATGAAAATTAGGCGAATAGATGACTCTCACGGGACAGTCTTGCTCTAGCAAATACGCAACTCTGTTTATCCTAAGCAAGTTCATTGTCCACAACCACGTATTATGCTTGTCAAGAATCTGCAAGAAAACGAGGCAAGATTGGTCCCTTGTAGCGCATTCTCATCCTGCGACCCGCGAAGAGAAGGTAGAAGAGCCTCGCCTCTCCGCTTTGGTCGTATGTTTACATTGTTAAGATGACGTCATTGTCAACCTCAACACGTGACTTCGTGTTGTGTACGCGAACAACACAACACTGTCGGATGTGCTCGCGTACAAAACCTCTCTGAAAGAATTCATATCACCACCTCAGAACAGCTAGACTTCTATTTTTAAAAGCAGAAAGCATCATGGCTGTGGGCTTTCTTGATCTCGCGCTTGAGACTCGGCAACAGCTCTATAATTATGCGTTACTTCCAAATGATGAGGAACAGCGTCGTGTGCTCTATAAGTCCGGACCCCTGTGAGTCTTACCTCTGTCTTCGTTTCCGTAGCACTGATAGAGACAAGCTTAAGCGAAGACCCTAACGATAACACCGTCTGGACCGTCAAAGCAATCTGCAAGCCAGATATCAAGCAATACCTTGGACTCCTACAAACATGCCGCCAAGTCAACGAAGAAGCTACCCGTACATTCTATACCAACAGTGTTGCTTTGATGGCCAACAAGATCAAAAACATAACGCCCGAGAATGATCAGCCATCATGTTGTTTTGACTTCATGCCGAAGCTAAATATTGGCGCAAGCTTCAACAGCCAGCTCCTACGGGCTATCTCCATACTACGCGACCACAAAGCAAAGCTGAGTGAATTGACTCTCGAATGTCCCATTACAGCGCTTTCATCCGAAGTCACCAAGACGCTTGGGGAACTATACACTACGGGATCGGTCGTCAAAGTGAAAGCCTACGTGCATCAAGAGCCGAAAATTTCATTTGAGTCCGCGCCTATGAAAGGAGGAGGAAGGGGCATGAACAAAAGGCAACACCCACTAAAGGAGTTTGAGGGTGCGCCGGATGTTGCGCATCTCACATCCCATGGCCATGTCTGGGAGGCAGAGTCGAAGGATACTATGGAATGCTATATTGATTTCGATGGGAAATTCTGGTTAATTCGTTTGAGGCTTGATGGAGAGCGAAAATGGTGAGAGATCTTAAGCGAGGGAAGGTCAACGGGCCAAGAGGCGTGATTAAAGAGTCGGAATATGTACTGAATACAGTACTTGCACCACTTTCTGCTTTTTTCAGCTGCCAAAGAACCTCACAAAGAATCCTGCTTAGCTAAAGAAACTACCGTCTCACATGAGTGCTATCATCGATAACCACGGCATCTATTGCGCACAAGAAAGGGTTACGAGCGTCACCAACGAATAAGCTGCTAGATGTCAAGGCTTCCGTTGAAGCCGATTAGTTAATTAGTTCCACATCCACTCCACACCCACACTCCCCAGCCCAAACCACTTACATCCTCCCACGTGGCCAAAGTACGGACATGTCCCATCATACTGATACGCCGGACAACACGACCTCAAATCCGTCCAATTACAGTAGAAATAGATCGGCAGACTGGAGATGCATTCGACGTTCAATCCCCCATCCGGGTTGATACCAATGACTTGGTCACTTCCGGCGCGGCCAGAATAGGTGCAATTGACCGCACCATCGAACAAAACCTCCATTTGCGCCCATCCATATGCCTTGAACATCTTGAGTATATCCCCAGCATCTTGCCCATTCTCTGGCTTTTCGCCGCGCTTCCAATTCAACGCGTACACCCTCCTCGTTGCATTGCTGCGAAACCAGTTGCCGTTGAGCTGTCCGTCAGGTGGACTTTTATGGTCATGGTCCCCCTCGATATGTTCATCGTAGACGCGCGTGAGCCTTCCACTTTGCCCCGACGTATCCCACCACTCCTGGTCGACCTCTGCAAGGGCCTGTCCCCAATAATCGTTCATCTTAAGCGCTTGTGAAGAAATGTGGGTTTTCAGCATGAAGTCATAGCCTTTGATACTCTGCGCGTAGTCGGCGGAGATCTGCCCAGACCAGGCGCCTGTGGAGGCGAAGAGCGTGAATTGCGCGACATCGCCCATTAGAACTTTTAGCAAGCGGTCGAAGCCGTCTTTTAGGTCGGTGGTGATGGACTCCAGCATGGAAGATAGATCGCCGATTTGCTCGACTTGAGACGCTGCGGAGCCGAGAGGGAGGAATGACTTGATCAGTGAGGGGGAGTGCGTGGCGGAGACGAGGAAGGATTGGATTAGGACTCGAAGAGCGAGACTGCGAATCGCGAGAGTACCTGCTGCAAGCTCCGGCGCCTACATATGATTGCGTTATGAGAAGGCGCTTTCGAATTGATAACGTGGAGGAGGTACTCACGAGAAGAAAAGCTAGGCCCATGCCAAGTACCGCGACCAGGTTGAGGAGACTTACCGGAGTGCTTTTGATTGGGTTGAGAGTCGAGGTCAGAGATCCGACGTCCAATGAAGTGGTAGACTTGGAAGAATCGATCGCTACAGAGAAAGTCAGCGACATTCTCTCAAGCTTGATTTAATACAGAAGAGCGACCTTACCATGAAAGTAATTTGAGAAAAAGTTGTTGATCTCGTGAATATTCTTTTGTATATACCGCACCTGATGATTAGTGGTCTCGTTCAGACCTGGGTCCAATTCTATGTCGCTCCCACATTTTTGATTGTTGATTACGGTGCAGTCTTGATCGTTCGTTCCTCGAGCCAAACGAAGAAAACATCGCGCCCATGGCTCATCTGAGCTGCAGCATCCTGAACCGTCCATTCTTGGGTCTAATCTATCCTCGGTGCAAGTTGGATGGTTCTGAGCCCACTTAGTCAGCCAGCTCGTGAGATTGAGAGTTGCCCAACAGGAGGAGTCGAATGAGGCTTGCAAGTCTTTGCAGTTGATCCATTGTCGAGGACTGACGCTGGCCATTTCCGAAAACGTCCTTAGTCTGATATCAGCTGAGATCCCCTCATTTCCTGTCGACCAAATTGGTGAGCCCTCGACGCTTGAGAATACCAATAGAAGCAGCGTTGGCGGAAATTGCGCCAGCAACGTTAG